TGGCACTGTGGCTCAAGTGGTAGAGCACTAGCCTTGAGCTGAAGAGCTGAGGGACAGCACCCAGGCCCAGAGTTCAGGCCCCACGACAGGACCCAAAACAAAAAAACAAAATAGAGCTGAGGTTCAAGTAAGTAGAGAACCAGCCTTGAGTGAAAACATTCAGAGATGGTGACCAAGTCCTGAGTTCAAGTCCCAGTACTAGCACACACACACACACACACACAAAAAGGCATTCTAGAGTCTCAGGGTCTAGATTTTTGAAACAAATTATTAGGAAAGAGAAGAAACAGCCCAGGATGGCTGCTCTACAATTCAAGAGAGCCAAAGGAACTGCTGAGATGACATTTCATGACCACCTAGAGGATAATTTTGTGCTGGCTCTTGGACAATGGGAACAGGGTGGAGAGGAGGGATGGTGTTTCCCTTTACTCTTGGGCTCTGACTAGTCTCTTTCTTCTGGTCAACTTGAAATCAGATCGGCCTTGGACATGTCCAGTAAAACAGGTGGGAAACGCCCTGCTACCACCAACAGCGACCTTTCCAACCACAGCATGGTGTCCGAAGTCCCTCTGGAGCGGCCCAACCTCCGGGTGAGTCCAGCCCACAGGGCAAGCTGGGAAATGCCCTCAGCACATACTTTGTTGGTTCTCAAAAACTCCTAGGAGCCAGGCATTAGTGGCTCATGCCTGTAATCCTAGCTCCTCAGGAGGTTGAGATCTGAGGTTCAGAGCCAGCCAAGGCAGGAAAGTCCATGAGACCCATCTCCAATAAACCACCTGAAAACTGGAAGTGGCGCTGTGGCTTAAGTGGTAGAGCACTCTACTTGAGCTGAAGAGCTCAGGGACAGCGCCCAGGCGCAGAGTTCAAGCCCCACGACTGGCCAAAAAAAACCCAAACAAACAGAATCTCAACTCTCACCTCAGTGGTGAGAGCTAGTGAGAAATTTTTAACAAGAGAGTGACATGATTATATTGTGTTTTAGGAAAAAATAACCTAATTTATTGCCCAGGATAGATGGCAAGAAGAGATGGATGGGGATCTAAACTAATGGACCTTGCGAGGAAAAAATAGATTAGAACCGAAAAAATAGATTAGAACCTTATTAAGAAAATAGTCTCAGCCAGCACCAGAGGCTCACACCTGTAATCTTAGCTACTCAGGAGGCTGAGATCTGAGGACTGCATTTTTGAAGCCAGGCTGGGCAGAAAAGTCCATGAGACTCTTATCTCCAATTAACTACCAAAAAGCTGGAAGTGGAGCTGTGGCTCAAATGGTAGAGCACTAACCTTGAGCAAAAGAAAGCTCAGGGACAGCACCCAGGCCCTGAGTTCACACACACACACACACACACACACACACACACACACACACACACACACACACACACACACACAAAGTTAAAATGAAGATAGATTGAGGCTGGAGGTTTGCCTCAGCAGCAGAGCATTTGTCTAGCCTGGGCAAGGCCCTGGGTTCTCTCCCTCCACTACAAAGTACTCCCCCTAAAAGAGCCACTTGGGTCAGGGCATAGCTCGAGAGGGAGAATGTCTACCTAGTAAACACAAGGCCCTGAGTTCAAGTCTCATTATTTCCCAAACACGAGAAGTGGAGGAAGGGAGGAAAGAGTATGAGACCCCGCAGATTTCTGGTATGGGTTGTGGGTGGATGGGTGGATTTTAGCACTGTTCACTAAGGAAGGATATAGAACAAAGCGACTTGGGTAGAATGAGTTTGGCATTTCCCTTACTTAATCCTGGTCAGACATTTGGTTAAATGGACTAGCACTAGGAGAAAGTCTTAAGTTTGGGTTGGAGAATCTTTGTCATGTTGCTGGTTGAAGCAGGGCCATAGATGAGCTTATTCAGGTGTGATATGTAATAAAACCTCAAAATAATAAAAGTTTGGCTGAGATCTGCCAGCCCTTAGAACAAAGGGAGACAGAGAGGGAGCAGTCAGAGAGATAGAGAGACTGAAAGGCAAACATTAGTGGGGTGGAGAGCAAAGATGAGTCTCGGGCAGGAGAGTTAGTATTGGCCAGTGGTATATAGTGGTCAAGGGCTGACCAATCTTAATTCAGTGGAAATGGAAGAGCCATTGCAGAAAGAAGTAGAGGTGATTTCATAGTTGTGAGAAGAGGGAAGATGGGCTCTTCCCAATGCCCAACCCTGGAGAGGGGGGAGCAGGGAGGGGTCTCGCTTTATAATGGACAGAGGACGAGGGTTCAAAGGGACTTCAGGGCGTGTGGGAGTGGGAGAGACACAGATGCTTTGGGGTGGAGAGCCGGGAGCATGCTGGCTGAGCAAGAGCAGCCAGCAGGAGAAAGACCCAGTGAAGACAGATGAGAGGAGCGGGTAGCAGAGCGGCCTCAGAGGAGACAGGAGCTCAGGTGCTCCTGGGAAGGAGGCGGAGGCTCCTTCTTTTGACCTTGGAGGGAAAGAGGCAAGGGCAGTGGAGAAGGCAGTCATTTTCTGGGTAAAAGGGTGTGAAATTGAGGAAGTCCGTGTCTGTGTCGGACAACTTCCATTTCCTCTGTGGGGAAAGTCAGGTCTGCTGTGGGAGGGCAGAGGGTAGAGGCTGGAGGACAGGGGAGATGGTAGGGGTGGCGAAGAGAGGTGCCATCCAGGGTTCTGTGGGTTTGTGATGACCTCATCTGCATGCAGTATACATTTTTTTCTCCCTAATCTAGTTGTGAGTCCAGGCAGAGTAGATAATTTGATTAATTTGAAATAATGGACTTTTAGAAAAGATTAAGCCAAAAGACAATGGGTGGGGCTTTTGGAAATGATTGGGGAGAAAAATAAGTAAAATCAAAAAGTAGGTGGTGCATCCTGGACAAAAAGGGGAGTGGGGGGCTGGGAAGATGGCTTAGTGGTAGAGTGCTTGCCTTGCATGCATGAAGCCCTAGGTTCAATTCCTCAGTACCACATACACAGAAAAAGCCAGAAGTGGTGCTGTGGCTCAAGGGGTAGAGTGCTAGCTTTGAGCAAAAGAAGCTCAGGAATAGTGCCCAGGCCCTGAGTTCAAGCCCTAGGAACAAGTGTGCGCATGCACGCGCACACACATACACACACACACACACACACACACACAAATGGGACCAGTGTAATTGAAGATGTGGGTGACAAAACATCTTGGGTGCTGGTGAGGTCTAAGGTGCCATCCTAGGAGGGAGTGGCTGGCATGGGGGGGGTGTCAGGAGTAGATAGGTCCACATAGTAAGAAATCAGGGCATCCGTGGGACCTCCCAAGGACAGTGGCATTTCCTAAGGTGATTGCAAGACTGAGAATGAGGAGGGTGTTATCCAAACCCTCAGATTCTGAAAGAAAGATCTAAAAGCTGGTGGTGATGAGAGGTAACCAGGAAGAGATCAGGCACTGGTGCTTCGAGGATTGTCACCAGAAAAGAATGGCAGTGTCCCGGGGCCGAGGAGCTGGGGAGCACTATCCCCCAGTTCTCCAGGGTGTCAAGCACGAGGCAGCGAGGGCTCAGAAAGCATATGGTATAGGGGATTGTCTCACGGTCAGTGGGTTCTAGAAAGCCTGTGGGAAAGCTGGGGAGTAAGGAGAGAAAGGGAAGGAAGGACAGGACGGGAGCGAAAGAACCGATAAGACCAGGTAGGACTATTATTTTGAGACCCACTTTAGAGATGAGGAAAAGAGTCAAATAATTAAAAGGCCATGACCTTGACTTAGTAACAACAGACCCAGAACTCACACGAGGGCCTGTTAACAGGAGGACACTCGGGGGCCAGCTAGAGCTGCAGCCCCCAGCAGGACAGCACGAGAGGAGGGGAAGGAAGTGAAGCCGTCTTCTCTCTCTGCCTCCCTAGGCCACTCGGGCATCCCGCAAAGCCATCGCCTTTGGCAAGCGCTCCCATTCCATGAAGCGGAACCTCAATGCACCTGTCACCAAAGCGGGCTGGCTCTTCAAACAAGTAAGGCGGGGCTGGGAAGGTGGCCTAGTGGTCTAGTGCTTGCCTTGCATGCATGAAACCTTGGGTTCAATTTCTCAGTACCAACACACAAAGAAAAAGCCAGAAGTGGTGCTGTGGCTCAAGTGGTATAGTGCTAGCCTTAAACAAAAAAAGAAGCCCAGGGACAGTGCCCAGGCCCTGAGTTCAAGCCCCAAGACTGACAAAAAACAAACAAGTAAGGCTGCCCTGCCATTCCACCCACTATAGCCCCTACCTTCGCATTGGAAGTCCTCTGTGCTAGGGGCCATCTGTATAGTTTGTTTGTGAATGAATGTCCTAATTGTATAAAGACTCAGAGAGAGCCGGGCGCTGGTGGCTCACGCCTGTAATCCTAGCTACTCAGGAGTCTGAGATCTGAGGATTGAGGTTCAAAGCCAGTCCCGGCAGGAAAGTCCATGTGACTCTTATCGCCAATAAACCATTCAAAAACCAGAAGTGGTGCTGTGGTTCAAGTGGTAGAGAGCTCACCTTGAGCTGAAGAGCTGAGGGACAGCGCCCAGGCCCAGAGTTCAAGCCCCACAACTGACCAAACAAAAAAAAGTCTCAGAGAGGTTGAGCATCTTTCCCAAAGTCACACCGAAGGCTTAGTATGACATTTGGGAATCCTAGTGGGATTTCTGCAGGGAAGATGCAATGACTTTGAAATGTGCTGGGTCCCCAACCCAGTGGAGCCTGCTGCTGGCTCCTCCCTACAGGTCTTCTTGCTGAAGTAGGCACAGGGGCGTTCAAATCCAGAGACCCACAGGTTCTCCCCAGACTGACCTTCCCATTTCCTTGCCCGCCCCTCTGCTCACCTACTCTGTCTCATCTCTTGCCCCTTGGCTCTTCCCTGCTAAGGTGCAGAGCCTCAGTGCTGGATGACGCTCTGGGAGATCACGGGCCGTGATCTCATGTCAGTTCCCAGTGCCTGAGCGCTCAAGGGGTGCTGCCTCATGTTAGTGGCAGAACTGTAGCCAGAGCCAGGATGTCCTTGGAACTCGTATGGCATCTACCTCCTCTTCCATACCCAGCTCTCAGCCACCCCTCCCCGCCCCCCCCCATGTCTTTCCACGTGTTCTGCAGGCCAGCTCTGGGGTAAAGCAATGGAACAAGCGCTGGTTTGTCCTGGTAGACCGCTGCCTCTTCTACTACAAAGGTGAGCTCTCTCTGGGAGGGCAGAGCCTGCGGGGCCAGGGAGGCGGGGCCTCATCCTGCCTTACCCCTGGGCACTGGCAGGGCCTGCGGGGCCAGGGAGGTGGGGCCTCATCCTGCCTTACCCCTGGGCACTGGCAGAGCAAGTCTCCCCACTGTAAGTGGCGGGGGGGGGTCCCACATTTGTTCATTCACTCATTCAAATGGTGGTGACTTCACCCTTGTGGGGCAGAGCTGTGGTCCTGGCTGGTGATAGTCATTTGGATGGGGAAGCCCTGGGATGGGGTGGGATGGGGGGAAGGAGGTCACCTCTAGTGGAGGTCTCTCATGTCCCATGGATGCGTGTTCTGGTCCATGACACAGGCATGTGCCAGTTTTTGTTCTTTGCCCTGAGTTCAAGCCCCATAACAGACCAATAAAAAAAATGCACACAAGCAGAATATGCCAAGCAGATCCAGAGGGCACAGGCAGGGGCTGAGGGCCAATGATGCTGTGGGTGTCGTCTGCTGTGTCTAGGAAGCAGGTATGGTGGATGAGGGGAGAGAGGGTGAAAAGATCTAGCAGACGAGAGGCTGTTTGCTCCACTTCCTCAGGCCTCCTGGGAAGTTTGGTAAATCATTAACGCTGACAAACAAGAATTGCACTCATTGACCCCCTGGCCCTCAGCTCCGCTCCCTGAGTTGGGGCCGGCAGGGCTTATGGCTACCTGGGCCAGGCACAGAGAAGAATCCATAACTGGGAGAGAAGAATCTGCCTGGGCCTAGCACTGCCATCCAATAGATGGACTCCGCCTGGCAGGGGTGCTGGGACCTGGATGTAATTTGTCCCTGCCCAGACTCATGTTTCAATTTGATTCCTATGCAATGATGCCGAGCAGTGAGGGATGAGTGGACTCAGCCTACACGGCTGGTGTCAGAAAGCAAGGAGGCCACCTTCCGGTTTGGTTTGTTTCCTCTGGAGCTTAGCAGATGTGAGCACCAAGCTCTTGGACCTCCCAGCTTCCAGAACCGGCAGCCAAAATAAATCCTTTGTCAGTCACCCAGCCTCAGAAAACTGACCAGGGAAGCGTCGTGTCCCCAGGCCACTTCTCAGTGGACTGTGATGCCATCTTCCATCCTTTTGCCCCTTTTCTGCAGAGACCCTGGTTTTCCCCCTTGTCTTCTGATCCAGCCCCAAGCCCCTCCTGCTCCTTCAGCTTACCCTGACTTCTGGAGCCTGCCAGGGTCAGGGGTGGGTGGACAGAGAAGCCCAACCACAGACCAAGTGTCTTGTGGATGTGCTCAGGGAAGATGCAGCACTCTGGGTGTTGTAAGCCCACAGCAGTTTATCTGACGATTCTTAACTGAGCCATAATGGAAGATTTTTCTGAGCCTCTCCCTGGGAATGAATAGCAGTCCTAAGGGATGAGGAGGAGGGAAGGTCCTCTTGTGGCCTAATATTTGCCTCCCCCCTCCCATGCTCCTGCCTTCCTGGCTTCCTGCTGACAGCTTGGGTCCATAGATAATTCATCAGGCTCCTTTGCATACCCAGAGTGAATTATGTAACAGCCCAATTGTCAGCCTGACTCCACCAGCAGAGGCCAGGGCTCTGTGTATAGTGTGCTTTCCTATGGGGAATTAGGGCCTGAATGGGGTCTGCGGAGGGAAAGGGTAAAGCAGGTTGCAGGGGGGGTGGGGGGGCTGGGAGAACCTTAGAGGTACCTGAAGCCAGCTGTGGTGTGCACACCTGTAATCACAGTGTTCAAGAGGCTGAGACAGGAGGGTTGTGAGTTTTGAGGCCAGCCAGAGGTGCATAGCACCATCCTACTCAGAATAACAGAGAGAGAGAGAGAGAGAGAGAGAGAGAGAGAGAGAGAGAATAAGAGGCTGGTACACCCTGTCATGCTCTGTCCTGTCCCCTTTGTCCCTTTGCTGCATGTATTGCTGTTGGACTGTCCTGTTTTGGAGGCCAAATAGAATAGGGGTGAAGAATGCTAGCTTTGGAGTCCAGTCCTAGGTTTAGAAACCAAACCCATGACTTACTGCTTAAGGAACCTTGAACAAACTCCTCAGCCTGTTTGTTTCAACTTCCTGACCTGCCAGCTGGAAACAGTAGTAGGTACTTGACAGAACCACAATTGACCAAAGCACTAGAGGCAAACACCTGACACCATGCACTTGATATGGGCACTACTTTCACTGACCACTAGAGGGCACTGTCTAAAATAGCATCTAGACCCTGGAATAGCCCCTCACCCCCATGCCAGGGAAGGCCTGTTGGGGGGTGCTGGCCTTGAGTGTCTTGACTAGCCATCGGCGGATATCAAGCACTCACTGTATTTATCACAGTAGAGCTGATGAGCGTCTCGCCCTCCCTTCTGCCCAGGTGGCCACACACCCATGCACACATCTTTGTGCTTCTTTTCCCTTACAGATGAGAAGGAAGAGAGCATCCTGGGCAGCATCCCTCTCCTGAGCTTCCGGGTTGCAGCTGTGCAGCCCTCAGACAACATTAGCCGGAAGCACACATTTAAGGTCAGTTGGCCCTCCTCTCCCAGGCCAGTGGGGAGGGACCCTGCTCTTTCTAGAAGCCCAAATGATGGACCACGGGGAGAGGAAGGAGAGGAAGAAGGGGTGGCCACCAGGAGCCCCCCCCGTCCCGTGAAGCTTCGTGAGGCTGAGCTGGGGTCTCCTCTCCTCCTAGGGGTGCAGTGGTAGTTGCTCCCAAGTGGGTCGGTAGAGGTGGGCCTGTGACAGCCACTGTTACTACTGGGAAAAAAGTTACAACCTGTGTCCTTGGACCTTCTGCCTAGCAGCCTGTCCTGAGGAATCTCTTCGGGGATGAGAGCCATAGCTGGTAGGGTTTAGGGTTCAGAGATCTTTTCTGGAAAGCCTTTTTCCCTACTTGAGACTCAGGGAGCTGGACCACCATTCCCCTTTTAGTCAAACTTACATTTCAATCTTCAGAGAAAATTAAGTGTTAACTTTTGTTCTAATCCCAAACTGCAAACCTTATGTAGGCAATAATCGTGTGTGTGTGTGTGTGTGTGTGTGTGTGTGTGTGTGTGTGTGTGTGTTGCTGGGGATGGAATCCAGGGCCTTGTGCATGTTTGGCAAGCAAGCTCTGCAGCGCTGAGCTACACCCCGGCCCTGTAGACAACAAACGCTTGGAGAGGACAAGCGCACAGGAAAGTGGGGCTCCTGCAGAAGCCCCGGGGGACCCACCTGGCAAAGATGTGCCTGCAAGCCAGTGTTTTTCCACATTTAAAAATTCATGACCCATTAAAAACTATAAAAGTCTCCTGCCCTTTTTGTGTCTTGTGATACATAAACCATAGGCTCCTTTCCATTTCCCAAATAGGAAATTATAACGTGGACTCTGCATGTGTGACTGAAAAGCCCCCTTTTCCCTGCTTTTAAGGGTTTTGCTGTGGGCTGAGAAGTTGGCTCAGTGGTAGAGCGCTTGCCTTGCATGCATGAGGCCCTGGGTTCGGTTCCTCAGCACCACAGTAGCAGGGGAAAAAAAAAAGCCAGAAGTGGTGCTATGGCTCAAGTGGTAGAGCGCTAGCCTTGAGCTGAAGAGCTGAGGGACAGCGCGCAGGCCCAGAGTTCAGGCCCCACGACCGGACCCAAAAAAAAAAAGGGGGTCTTGCTGCTCAAGACCTTTGAAACCTTAGGCAGTGGGGTTAGGACACTGGACCTGTGGGCCTTTCTGTCCTGTGGACTCTAGTCACATGGCCACAGAACGGAGGTGGGCAGCACACACTGGCCCTGTCACTGGGAGCAGGGAGGACCTATTTGGCACATAATTAGTTTCCAGCCCGCCAGGGCCTCATGTGCCAGAGGTGTGAAGAGAGTGAACAATTAATAAAACTCTTGACTGCAGGGAGCCGGGTTCTAGCTGGGGGAATACGAACAGGCTGTTTAAGTAACAACAAACACAGACACATTGGCACCCACACACCATCCGCAACCCGTCTCCCCCTTCCCACCAGACCTGTCAGAGACACACACATCCCAGCTTGGAGCTGTGCCAGCAGCAGGCATCAGATCAGTGTCCTGGAATGACTGGCACACATCCTGCTGCAGAGCCCAGACCTCACTCCTTTGCCTACCAGTCTCTCACCCCATCTTTCTTTCCCCAAAGCCTGCACTGTCTCTTTAAGGCCAGGCTCAAAGGCCACGGCTCAGTGGGCCACAAAGGGTTCTCACTGTGGCTATTCAGGGGCCCTTCCCCAGGGAAGGGAGGGGAGCTGAGACAGACAGACAGGAGGCTTGTCCCGCTGTGGCCACCAAGCAGAACCCTTGTATGACCAATAATGAAGAGCCAGAAACTGTCCCTGCTCAGGCTACGGCTGAATGCCTTCACTTCTTTCTAGCACAGCCTTCGCCTGCAGGGCCCTGCCCTCAATTCTCCTGTCCCTTTCATAGCTCCAAGCCCCTGTCCCTAGTCTCTCCCCAGTCAATAGCCCTGTCTTTTCCCAGGCCCTCTGCTTCCCCCGCCCCCCCATCACCAGCACTTGTCCCCGGGTCTGTGTTTATTTCTTGTGTCCCCTGGCATGTTTTGTCCCCAGCGCGAATGTGAGCTCAAGTTCAAGGGCACATCTTTGCTGTCCTTGGGAATGGCGCCCCCAACGAGCTACACACAGGCCCTTACCGGATGCTCACTGAATTGAGGGATTCATTCTTTGCCTACTCATACTGGGCCTAGAATGTACCAGCCCTGCCTGTGTCACCAGCTACCCCATACTAGCCCAGTATTCCCCACCCAGAGGGCTCAGCCCAGCCCCTCGCCACCCCCCCCACCCGCCTTGGGCTGTCTGCCTCTGTGTAGATTCAAGTCCCAACAGCCTCCTTACAGCTGGCCCCCTGGCTGGCCCTCTCCTACAGGGTCCTCAGCTCTGCCCACGTGCCCGGCCCTCTGCTGGACCGTGGAGACAGCCAGTTGGGTCCAGAGGAACACGGCCAGTCCCTCCCTGCCTGATCCTGCTGAGTAATTATTTTCAGGCTCCTGTCTGCATAATCCGGGGCTGAGGACAGGCGGACATGGTGCAGACCTGGCTTCAGGCAAGGGAGCCTCAAGAAGGCTGGGTCCCGAAAACATGGGTGGAATTTCACCTCTGAGGCTCTCAGGCCTTAGAGGAGCCTTGTGCCTCTCCTCCTCGGCCCTCCATGGGCCAAGGAGGGGTCAGAGCGATTGAAGCTCCCTCTTGAGTCTCTGGATCCTTACTAGAACCTTCCTGTTTAGTGAGAAAAGCCCAAGCTTTCTTGGGAGGTTGTGAGTCTTGCTTAGAGAGTACGCAGGTGCTGGAAAACCAATTGGAGTCCTGTGGCCCTTCTTCCTGTAGCTCAAGAACACTGGGTGTCTCAGTCCTTTCTCATTAAGTTGGTTGTAGCCCCTAAGGCCAGAGAAGAGCCCTGGCCCCTTCATGGGCCATGGTGGGTGCTCTCCTTTCCATTGGTGACCAGGAGTTAAAAAAGGGGACAGTCCATCCTCCCCTCCTCTTGTTCCTCACCGTTTCCTGCCTCCTGGTGTCTGTCTTTCCCTCTGGTGTCGGTTGACCTGTTCTCTGCTTCTCCTGACGGCGTGAGGACCCCTCCTCCGACAGGAGCTGGCTTCTGGGTTCCCGCCCGCTGCGCCTGCTCACGGCCACCAACTAGGTAGTGTGCTCTGCCCGTCTGTCAGTGCGTTCCCTTGCATGCCAGTGAGAGGGCGCCGCGGCCTCCCCTCAAGGAAGGGCCGGGGCCAGCTCCCAGCAGTAAAGCTGGGCTCACTCAGCCATCGCCCCCAGACTCTGGGTAATTCCTTTTCAGTTCAAATGCGGAAGGGAGGGGAGAGCGGGTGACTAATTGTCCCTCTGGCTTCTAATCACCACAGGTGGGGCAGGTAGGCTTACTTGGCTACTGGGCTGCCTGGTGCCATTCAGACACCTACTCAAGGCAGATGCTCTATGCCAGCTGGTGCCCATGGGGTAGCCATGTCGCCCCCCCTCCTCATCTTGCTCCTGAGCTCCTCTGGGGAAGAGCTGCAGGCTGAGGAAGGGCCTGACTGATGGCCCTCTCTGGGCCTTGGTGTTCTCCCCTGCAGGTGACCGTGTGCTGGGTAGACGAGGCCGGGGCCAGTTCCACGCACTGCCTCTCCCCACAGGCCGAGCACGCTGGAGTCCGCACCTACTTCTTCAGCGCCGAGAGCCCCGAGGAGCAGGAGGCCTGGATCCAGGCCATGGGGGAGGCTGCCCGGGTACAGATCCCCCCAGCGCAGAAGTCGGGGCCCCAGCCTGTGCGACACAGGTGAGTGCCAGAAAGGAGAACATTCTAGAAACTCTAGGCTCCATGCCACTGCAGCATTCCGCGTGCTGGCGTAACACTTTGGAGAGTGTGGGAACTCTTTCCTTTCATCCAAACAGGGCAGATGGAGTCCCAGCCCCTGTCCCAGCACCCTGTTTGGCTCCTCTTCTTCTCTCTGCCCCTCTACAGGGCAGATGGAGTCCCATCCCCTGTTCGGCCACAGAGAAGTTGGGTGCCATTGAGGCCAGGAGCCAAAGGTGAGGGTGGTTTGCTCATGCTCAGCTGTGTGTGAGCACACAGACTTCGGAGGAAGGGGGACTCAGGTTTGAATGGCCGTTTGGTCGCTGGGCCACAGGGTGACTGTCGTCTGCCATTGTGGATCTGAGTTTCCTGTCCTCAAAAGCAGCCATTATGCTCCCACCGCTCCCAGGGTGGCGGTGGGACAGCAGAGTCTGTGAAATCCTCGACAGACAGCAAACACTTACCATCTGGCGCTTCCCACACCATCGTCACCCCCAGCCTCCGGGCCTGGCTCTCCCTCCGCTGGGGATAAGCCTGAGCTAGGTGTGAATGGGCATCTGGAGGAAGGGGTCTTGCGCGGTATAGACGCCAGGTTTAGACATGTGTTGTAGAGATATTTACCCAGCAGTGTCTTCACAGGCTTGCTTGAATATGTCAAACTCAGGGAGCCGAGGGGAGAACGTCGTCACAAAGTGTCATCTTTGTGCACTTCTAGAAGTTCCTTCCTTCATGTCAGAAGTACTTACTGAAGCATAAAAGTGTTAGATGTTATGCCACGTGCGTGGAAATGCAAGGGCAGCACATCTGCCCGTCCCCGCCCTCAGGGAACCCACAGGCCAGTGGAAATTCACTCGGGGAAGGGACATGTTTTGGAGAAGGGAGTTGGCATGGCTTATGTGCCCATGGATTTGGTGACACTGACTCCTGTCTGCCACCTGCCACATTTGATCTTACAGCAGCCCTCTGAGGAAGGCGGCATCTAGACCTATTTTGTTAGTGAGGAGCCCAATATATAAGGAAGTAAGTGAAGTAGCTTTCCCTGGGAGATGGTTGGACCTGGACCGAGTCTCCGCTGCTAGGGACAGTCACTGCAAGGCAGCTTCAGTGCCGTGCCAGCCCCGCTTGGGGAGGGGGATGAGGGACAGAGGAGGCCACGATTAGGTGAAGGCAGGATTCACAATGAAGTCAGCAGAAAGGAGTGAGAGTGTCCCAGGAGGAAGACAAAGGGTGAACAGCAGCATACATCGTCATAACCGCTGCCCAGCTGGAGTAAGGAGCCAGAGCTTATGGTTTGGGAAGCAGAGTTAGATATCTGTGTACCCTGGCTCCATGGCCACCTTCTTGCCTATTCCTCTCCACTCACTCCCAGTCTGCCACCCCTGCCCGTTCTCTGCTGGGCCAGAGATACTTAGGACTTTTTCTTTGGCATCCTGCAGCCATGAGAAGCCAGACTCAGAGAACATCCCACCCAGCAAACACCATCACCAGCCACCTCACAACAGCCTCCCCAAGCCAGAGCCAGAGGCCAAGACGCGAGGGGAGGGGGACGGCCGAGGCTGTGAGAAGTCAGAGCGGAGGCCTGAGAGGCCCGAAGTCAAGAAAGAGCCTCTGGTGAAAGCCAATGGCCTTCCAACCGGGCCCGAGCCAGCCTCGGAGCCTGGCAGCCCTTGCCCCGAGGGCCCCAGGATCCCCGGAGGTGGGGAGCAGCCGGCCCAGCCTAATGGCTGGCCATACAGCTCCCCAAGTCGGCCAGGGAGCACAGCTTTTCCACCTCAGGATGGGGAGATTGGGGGGCACCGACGGAGCTTCCCACCACGTACTGACCCTGACAAAATTGCCCAGCGCAAGAGTTCTATGAACCAACTTCAGCAGTGGGTGAACCTGCGCCGGGGCATGCCCCCGCCCGAAGACCTTCGGAGGTAAGGCCCACTGGGGGCCCATACCGGGACTTGAGTAGTGTGATGGCTAGGGCATGGGCGAAGGTGATAACCTGTGAGGCAGTTCCTGCTAGACTTTCTGGAAGCCGGGCTTAACTGGGAAGCCAGGGCAGTCCCTTGATATCTAGCTTGCTCAGTCCTTCCTATACCATGGCTTCAGCTTTAGAGTTTGGCCACTGCCCCTGATTTTGACCTGTCTGTTTCCTTAAAGGAACAGGAAAGTTCTGGGGTTTCTTCACAAGACATTGGGTAGCCCAGGATTCAGGCAAGTCAAGGGCAGCACCTTGAACTTACCCTGGTTTGAACTCAGGGTCTTGAACTGGCTAGGTAGGCACTCTACCACTTGAGCCACCTTGCCAGCCCTCTTCATTTTGGTTATTTTCAAGATAGGGTCTTGCTCTATATCCAAGACAGCCTGGATTGCAGTCCTCCTATTTGTGCTTCCCCATGTTGCTGGGATAGCAGGCATGAACCATTCCACACAGCCGTTGGTGGAGATGGAGTCTCACAAACAGACGAGTCTTGAACCTTGCTCCTCTGGACTCCACTTCACAAATAGCTGGGATTATAGGCTTGAGCCACAGGTCTAGCCTCCCCGCCCCCCATCATGGTGCTTGAATTCTGGGCCTAGGCACTATCCTTCAGCTCTTCAGCTCAAGGCTAGTGCTCTACCTCTTGAGCCACAGCACCACTTCCAGTTTTCTAAGTGGCTTATTGGGAATAATCTCACGGACTTTCCTGCCCAGGCTAGCTTTGAACCACGATCCTCAGATTTTGGAGCCTCCTGAGTAGCTAGGATTACAGGCATGAGCCACTGGTACCTGGCAGGTCTAGCCTTTTTAATTCTTTCTTTTTAAGGGAAAAAAACCCAGTCCATTGGTTTTAATACTGTCTTTGATAACTAATTTACTTTTTTGGGGGGGGGGTCCAGTCGTGGGGCCTGAACTCTGGGCCTGGGTGCTGTCCCTCAGCTCTTCAGCTCAAGACTAGCGCTCTACCACTTGAGCCACAGCGCCCCTTCCAGCTTTTTTTTTTTCTGCTTATGTGGTGCTGAGGAATCAAACCCAGGGCCTCATGCATACAAGGCAAGCATTCTACCACTGAGCCACCTTCCCAGCCCCCAATTTACTTTTTTGTCCAGTGACTGCCTTCCACATATTTGGGAACATTTCCTGGGCCTGACAGTGTGGGCAGTGGCCTTTCCCTGAGGGTACAGACAGCTTCAGGATTGTAGGGTGGGCCTCAGAGCCCTGTGCCTGGGAGACACCGCCCTCTAGTGGCAGAGCTGAGACTCACTGCCGGTGGTCCCGTTCCTGGTGAATGGGCCTCTTGAGGATGAGTCCCAGGAAGCTCTCCAATCTTCTGGTCATTTGTTCTCTTCCCTGTCTTAAAAAGCATTTGATAAGCTGGTTCACACTAGGATGAAGATGGCTAAAAAGGCTCAAAGGTTCCTTCAAGGGCATTAAAAAAAAAAAAAGCTCTGAGTGGTGTAGTCTCTGGCCCCAGAGAACCAAGGGAAGAAGGGACTCTCCCCAGCCTATGGAATAAATCTCAGTTAATGGGTGATGGCCACCCCTAGGTGCTCAGAGGCTGGCTCCCCTGTTGAAGTACCTGCTTGATGCTGGCTGACATGGTGGGCTGGAGCACGGGCACAGGAGATGTACCACTTTATCTCTTCCCTTACCATGTCATCCCTCTCTCTCTCAGTCCCTCTAGGTTCTACCCTGTGTCCCGCCGGGTCCCCGAGTATTACGGCCCCTACTCTTCCCAGTACCCTGATGATTACCAGTACTACCCACCCGGCGTGCGGCCGGACAGCATCTGCTCCATGCCGGCCTACGATCGGATCAGCCCACCCTGGGCTTTGGAGGACAAGCGCCACTCCTACCGCAATGGGAGCGGCCCGGCCTACCCAATGCGGGACTGGAAGGAGCCCGCCGGCTACGGGCGGCAGGATGGCACCGTCTGGATCCCCAGCCCCTCCCGGCAGCCAGTCTATTACGATGAGCTAGACGCCGCCTCCAGCTCCCTGCGCCGCATGTCTCTGCAGCCCCGATCCCACTCCGTGCCCCGCTCGCCCAGCCAGGGCTCCTACGGCCGGGCCCGCATTTACTCCCCGGTCCGCTCTCCCAGTGCCCGTTTTGAGCGGCTGCCTCCTCGGAGCGAGGATATCTATGCTGACCCCACCACCTACGTGATGAGGCGTTCTGTCAGCTCCCCAAAGGTGAGCCAGCAGCCTGCTCGTTCATCTTGGTTCCCTACGATGTCTGCTGAGGAGGGGCGGAGGTGCTCTGGAACATGGGCCGCCAGGTCCAGTGATCTGCCCAGGGCTTACAGTACCACCCCAAGGAATGCTGCTCCAGCCATTACTTTGTCTCCTGCATAGGAACCTTGCTCTCTCCCTGTTCCCAGATCATGCTAGAAACCATGCGATCTATGGCAAAGCAGAGGGAGGGAGTCTGTCTTTTCCAATCTCGAGGACTTGGGTAGATTGTTCGGGGGGTGGGGAGGGCACTGCTGTCCATTTTAGCTTGAAGTCTGCTTTGTGACAGATTGCCCTAACCTTGAATCTCAGTTGTGCAGGAAGCCGTGTCCCAGCCAGACCCTCTCATCTCTGCAATTCCCTTTCTCTTCCAGTATGATTACCTGGGAGACAGGCGGCCAGTCCCCGCAGGACTGTTCCCTTACAACTACCCACCATCCCCCACGGTCCACGATAAGATGGTATGTCCTCTCCTCCCCTCCACCTCAGGACCTCTCCTCTCTGCCTCCACCCAAAGTAGAGCAGAACTGGGGAAGGCATCAGGGACACTCTAGGCAGCCTCTGGATGCCTCCTCCCTCCTGGGGACCAGCATAGTCTGGTGCCAATTACCTACTCTTCCCCTGTGTCCCAGGGCGAGGAGCAGGATAAGAGCTGAGTGTATAAACTCCTGATCCTCGTGATCGGGCACAGCTCTCCTCTTCAGCCTGCAGGAGAAGGGGCCCGGTCAGGGCTAGGATTATGCATGGGGGTGAAAAACCAGCCTAGAACTCCTGGTAACAGACAAGAGCTTCCAAACTCCTCCCCTCCCCCCAGATGTATTTGCTTCAAGTTTACTCTTTGCCTAGGGGGCCACCTTTGGGGAAAGGTGAGGTGTTTGAGGAAGAAAGTTTTCCATGTTGTGCCTGCTCCCCTTTCTTCTCCTTTTTCTGTTTGCCTCTTTTTCTGGAATGTATTTCCTGGGAATATTTGCCTCCTTCTGGAGAACTTTGTGCACATGTTCCACTCGGGACCAACAGGCACATCTCTGGTCCATACGCAGCAGCAGGACGCCAGGGCGGAGGGGGCTGGACAGGAGGGCAGGGCTGCTGCTCAGCCCACATGCCAACTCTGCCAGTATCACAAAACCCTATTGGATGAACCCATGGCAGGTGTACCCTTCCAGAAGCAACCAATTCTTTCAGAAAACTCAGACACAGCTGCTAGCAAGGGTAGTCAGACTGCTGTGGCAATGCTCGGTGCTCTCCAGGGGGCGTGAGGCAGACCTGGGGAGGGCTCGGGCCCAGCGTGCCCCTCCTCCACCTGTGTGCCCTCACCTCCTCCCTTCCCCAGAAGCACTCAGGGGCCAAAAGAGACAGACTTCTCCTTGTCATTGCCCAGCTAATTCTTAACTGCTTTGCTTCTTCTTCCTCTTTTGTTTTTCTGATTGTTTTCTGTTGTGTGTTCCTGTTTGTTTGTGTTGCTGGTTGGCCCCTGGGCCTCGGGTTCCGGGTAGGATGAACTTTTAGATCTTCAGTTGCAAAGAAACCTAGAGTATTTGGACCAGCAGGTAGGCAGAGCTGGTGCCCTTGCCATTCCACTCCCTCTGTGTGTCCCCCCTCCCCTCCCATTCCTCAGCTTCCACCTGACAACCTTTGTTGGTGCCACAAGACACAACAAAGTGGCTCATGTTTTGATTTGCTTCTTCACACCCCGCTCCTCTCCAAAGCTCTCCAGGGAAGCTAGGGGTTTCCTGGGGAAAGACTGATATAAATGGGCATGTGAATAACGAACACCACCCCACATTTCTCTAGTGTTCAGTCCAGATAGAACTTCTCCCAGGGGGCAGATGAGAATTTGCTTTTTTTTTTTTTTTTTTTTTTCTGGAGAGAGGAAGAAGTAGAAGAAACTAGAAAGAGCTCCTGTTGAGCTCAGATTCCAGAGCTGTCACTGAGCCTGAATCTGGAAGTCAGCTCGTGTGTCAACAGGTCATTATTAACCCTGCTAACGTGTGAGCTAAGACTGCCCTAGGTTGACTTAGAGATTGACACTAATTTAGTATCATTTGCATAGACAGCTCATGAGCACCAGGATTCAGAGGCACTGATGTCAACTCTGTTTGCAGGCCAAGCAAGCAGTGAGTGTTTATGCAGTCCAAGCTGTTGGTTACTTGCTCCCTGGCTCTAGGACACCAACCCCTGGATACCTTGCTTTTCGTGTCTGTGATAGGCCAGAATGCTGGGTGTTCCTGCAGTAACCATACACATGCTCAGATCTGTGCACACAGTGTCAGAGGCCACCCGGGATGGCGGCATGACAGCCGCCACTATAATTAGATGCTTCCTCTGTGCCCAGAATTACTAGAAGCAGAATACAAACTAACTCATTTAATCTTTATAATGATCCTTCAGGATAGGTACTGTTATTAAACCCATTTTACAGACAAGGAAATGACCAAATGAGTCTGCCGAGAATCCAGCCAGTGAAGAGCAGAACTCGGGGTGTGATTTGTGGTTTTGACCCAGTTTAGGTGGACAGACGTCAGTTAGGTGAAGGGCTGCGGATGAATCCCATCGGGCTTGGATCGTGCTCTTGAGGTTGCAGGAAGGACCGTGAACTTGACGTTAGAGGACTTGGCTATGGCTGTGTGTTCTGGCCCCACCCATGTGGCCTGTTACCTCACAGGGCCTCCCTGTCACCCAAGGCACTGGAAGGCCTCGGTTTCATCAGTAGGGTTGGCTCCTGGGCCTTGAGTGCTTTGCATTCTTTTTCCAAAAGCCCCACATGGTATCCATACCATGAGCATAAAGTCTCAATACCTGGCTATCCTAGTACTCAGCACAGGGGGGCTGGGTGTTAGGCTGGGGGCTTCCGAAGTCACCTGCCAGAGGCCTCCTTCTGGATAAAGGGTATCATCCTTAGGCAGCATTGTAATCCAGAAGCCAGGCGCAGCCACTCAATGCCACACTCGCCCCAGCGGCTGCTGTTCACAAGGACTTTTTCAAACCTCGGAAACGGCTCTTCATTGTTCTGAGCCTTTGCTGTTACAGATATAAAACAGGCAGTATAGCGCTTGCCCTGTCTGCTTCATTTGTAGACAGGTGGACAGGCGGACAGGTGGACAGGCGGACAGGCAGACAGGCGGACAGGCACTCTCTGCCAGGCTCCATCGGAGAGGATAGTGACTGTGGCTGCAATTACCCACAACTCAGCACAGAATACCCATTGGGTAGCATTTACCACGCAGCCAGCACTGGGTCAGCCACTCCCTCTACTTCACTAACATTTTGGAGAGTCAGAGGGAGCACACAGAATCTTCCTAGAGGAGATGCTCAGATAGGCTGAAAGATCCCCAAAGCGTAGCACAGGGGAGCAGGCCAGGAGGGCATCCTGCTTCCCGGGGCTGCTACTGTAGCAGGAGTGAGGTCTGAGCATGCTCAGGAAGCACCTGGGCCTGCCTCTGCCTCTGCCTCTGCTCCGCCCCGCTCCCCCTGCACCTCACCCACTAGGCCACATGTTCTCACACCTTCTCTGTGCACATGTTCCAAAATGACAGCTCAGCTTGAGCATGGGGTTTTTAGAGAAAATGTGTTTGTCATCCTGTTGACATTTTTTGTGCAGGTCCTGGGGCTTGAACTCATGGCCTGGGTGCTGTCCCTGCACTTTTGTGCTCAAGGCTAGCATTCTATCACTAGAGCCACAGCTCTACATCTGGTTTTTTGGAGAGTTAATTGGAAATAAGACTCACAGACTTTCCTACCCTGGCTGGTTTCAAACTGTGATCCTCAGATCTCAGCTTCCAAGTAGCTTGGATTACAGGCATGAACTACTAGTGCCCAGCACAATTTTATTTATTAACTCTTAACTCTTAGAAAGCCTCAACTTTCTCCTGGAAAAGCTCCCCCCCCTCTTCCTCCTCCTCCTCCTCTTCCTCCTCCTCCTCTTCCTCTTCTTCTTCTTTCTCTCCCTCTCCCTCTCCCTCTCCCTCCCCCTCTCCCTCTCCTTCTTCTTCCTGCCCTAGAGTTTGAACTTAGTACTTGTTGCTCTTGCTTGGCTTTTCCACTCAAGGCTGGCCCTCTACCACTTGAGCCTCATCTCCACTTCTGACCTTTTACTGGTTAATTAGAGATGAGTCTCTTCAGCTTTTCTGCCTAGACTAGCTTGAACAGGGATCCTCAGATCTCAGCCTCCTGAGCAGCTTGGATTTATAGGCGTGAGCCACTGACACCTAGCTCAGAAGCACTCTTTTGAAAGCTCTCTACATCACACTTTATCCTACAAGAGAAAGTTCCATTTGGGCTAAAGAGGTAGGAGAATCACATGCAAGAAAGGGTTTTAAGCCGGGCGCTGGTGGCTCACGCCTGTAATCCTAGCTACTCAGGAGGCTGAGATCTGAGGATCGCGGTTCAAAGCCAGCCCAGGCAGGAGAGACCGTGAGACTCCTATCTCCAATAAACCACCAGAAAGCCGGAAGTGGCGCTGTAGCTCAAGTGGTAGAGTGCTAGCCTTGAGCTGAAGAGCTGAGGGACAGCGCCCAGGCCCAGAGTTCAAGCCCCACGACCGACAAAAAAAAAAGAAAGGGTTTTAAGCATGTTGTCTCCCTGGGGGAGTGGTTGCAGGGAGCCTTTCCTGTCGCCGCGCATGGGCCAGGTTTGGACTTTTGCCTAAAAGGGGTTTCAAGAAAAGACAAGAGGTCTGCCTTTTCCAGGTTCCTGTAGAATCTTCCCAGTTGTAGCTCCGTCCCTCTTCCCTCAGTCACGTTCCCTCCCCAGAGCCTTTCCTGCACACCTCCCTCTGTCTTCTCCTACTGTCTGCTGTGGGGCGAGTTAAAGGGACACAGCCAAGCCCCCTCCCTGACAGATTGTGATCCTCTCACACTGAAACAGTGGGGGGTGAGGGGGGGAATGAGGGCAGCACGGATCCATTTGGTTGACCTACCTTCTCTCCCTCCTTCCTCTCTTCATTTTTCTCTTTCCCTCCCTTTCCCTTGACATCTTCCCTCTCTCATTTTGCAAATAATTTTCCCTCTCCGTGTTCCTAATGGTCCTTGAAATACAAAGATGACCTAAGGAGAGCAGTGTTCCTGTGTCCGGTGTCCCTTTAACATGGCTCCCTTGTCATGGCCTCCGTATGGCTCCCAGCGCCATCCAGGATGCTCATGGATGCCGCCCGCCCGCCCAGCTCTGGAAGCTGTGTTTAGCACTCTTTCTATCTGAGAGCCAGGGGAGGGCCGGGAGGCAGAGGGGCCATACCTGTTGGTTTCCAAAGGCCCCCACAGAGAGCTTTGCTTTCTTTATTGTTTGGTTTTCATGCAGATTTAGGGAGATTGGCCTTTCTCACTGTGTGGTCTTCATCCCAAAGCTGTGTGAGGACTGGGGCCAGAATGACAGCCTTGGCCAGTGTGGATGAGACTGTAGCGATCAGGTGTCCTAGAAGAGAGTCTCTAGACTTCGTCCATGTTACCAGTGAGGCCCAGGGGCCTCCCAGCCCCCTAATGTGGCTTTTCCACCAGGGCAGTCGAGTGCTGCTTCTGAGAGAGTTCACAGGGGTGAGCGATGGGCACTGGAGGCCCCAAGGGCAGCTGCCATTCCCTGTTTCACGGGCACAGGAGGGTTAGGGGTGTGGAGCCTGTACGTGGTGCTGAGTGTGAATCGTCCGTTCCTTCCTCTGCTGCAGATGAGTGAGAGCGAGACTCTCATCAGTATGGTGAATCGCATGGTGGAGAACTCCTCCCCCAGGGCCCAACTCTTCATGCAAGTAAGGCCTCTGCCTGCCAGCATGGGCCCTGTGGGCACCATCTCAGCTGCTTGTGCATGGTCGGGTCACCCCATCGGGGATGAGGCGCTCTCTGCCCAACCCGCTCATCTGCCAGGCTTCATCTCCTCTGAGCCAGGCTCTACCTGGTCTCCCCACCCCACCCCAACTCCACGTGTCACCTCCATTCCTCACCTTCATGAGTGAATCCAAGGCCCATCTCCCAAATCATCAAAATAGCCAGTGCCAACATCTCACGCCATGCTGGGGACTGCGAGCTGCATTTTCATGTCCACACCCGCTGCTTTCCTGACAGACCTGGGGGGGGTGGTAGGGGTGAGAGGGGCAACAACGAGCCATCTAGTGCCAAAGGCGTAGAGGGTGCTATGGCCACTTGCTCTGTGATCAAGGCTGGGCACCATTCGCTGGGCCCAGACTCGCTTCTGGATTCCTGCCAGTCCTGGCTTAGGCCCAAGCCCTGTGGTCAGTGGTCAGTCTGATTGTGGCCAGCAGTATTGAAGCATTTCCACTGCCCACTCCTGTCAGACTCCTGGGTTACATCCCCTACGTGGCAGGGGGGCTTCACGAATGTCCTTGTGGTGATTACCAATAAGCCCCTGGGAGTTGGCCATCCCTGCAGCCCCTCACAGCAGCAAATCTTCAAGCTGGAGGGGGAGGAGATGCGGAGTGCGAGGCCAGCAGAGTTCTGAGCTCCCCGGATCATGGGAGGACAGCTGGGATGCAGTCTAGATGCTCATAGCCAGGGGACAGGGATCAGCTCCGGTCTGGGGGACGGAAGCCAGCGGAGGTGATGGATTGTAGTCTCTGGCAGGGACTGAGCAGGGCTGTGGTGCCAGCCTTCCCACCTGCATGCCCTCACCGCGCCCCTGCGGCAGTAACCAGCCTCATGTTCCTGCAGGTCCCTCCGTACCCAGAAGTGTTCCGGGACGGCCTCCACACCTACAAGTTAAACGAGCAAGACACGGATGTAAGGGCAGCTCTCCCTGTCCACCGGCAGCCTCCTCCCACTGCCTCCCTCATCCTTGCTCTCACGTGGCTCTTTCTCCATCCATCTCTCTCCTCCTGGTGGCGTTTCATACACTGGAGTCATGTCCTTCCTCACCACACACATGTCATTCTACTACTTCTCATCTCCCTTCTTTTCTGGACCTTATGACCACCTCACCCTGGCCTCCTGTGCTGGCTCTGGAGCCCCTGCCTGCAGCAGTGGGATCTAGCTATGGCAGGAACGTAGGCTCCATTGGGAGAGAAATCCATCAGTCTGACCTGTGCCCAATATGGCATTAGTACCTGCAGGTAACTGAGAGGCCCATGAGCCGTTCCTGAGCTTGGGAAGTGTCGGTAGTAGGCAACCCCAGGCAATAGCAGGTGGCAATAGAGGATTCACTAACTGAGTAGGGCCAGGAACAGTACCGGTAGCCATTAGGAAGAATGGTGGGTCAGGGATAAAAACAGCCTGTGGGAAGGGCCTTGAAGTTAAAAGGCCTACAGGGTAAGAGAGAGCTTGGGAGGAAGGATCCAAGGGTGACATGAGTGGAGGGGCTGACATGGAGAACACAAGTCAGAAGAGAAGGCTGTCCCGGCCTGCCTCCCCCAGCACCACTGCAACTGCTTGTACAAGGGAAACAGCAGGCCTGGGAACGCGGAAGGGCCCGGCCTTGAGGGATGAAGAGATCAGAGTCTTAGAATGAGAGACAGGTCCTGTGAGGCTGAGGGGCCAGTTCACCTCATGCAGAAAGAGTGTTCCCACGCCCCGCCTGCCCCTCCCATCCAGCCAAGGAAAGGTGGCCATATTGTCTGCTTCACCCTCTGCCATAGCATCCAGGCCAGAGGATGCGGATACAGGAGCCACCACTTGGCTCTCAGCCCCTGCCTCTGACACAGTTGTTCAGAGAATTAGCCCATCTTCTCTCCCAAGATAGAGATTGATTTTCCTCCTCTTGGGAACCTCCAAGGTCAAAGGTGAAGACCCAAGTTCATTAGTAGGAGGAAGAGGCGGTATCCAGAGGCCAGGCCTTGCCAACCCCTTTTCCTGGTCCTCATCCAGCCATGTCCCTCATCCTCTTCTTTCTTCCTCCCCCATCTCTGGGTCCCCAGAAGCTGCTGGGCAAGTTGTGTGAACAGAACAAGGTGGTGAGGGAGCAGGACCGGCTGGTGCAGCAGCTCCGGGCAGAGAAGGTGAGAGTCTGGGGTTGGCCTTGAAGCAGAACTGGCTGGGAGAAGATATGGGTTGATGTCTCCATCTTTCATCTTGTGTTTCCTTAGACTTCTGTCCAACCTTAGAATTGCTGAAGGTCTCCCAGGGGCCAGAGCCCGAGGACTCCATTCCCTGACCTGCCTGGCTGAACCTAGTAGGGGTTGAGGCATCTGCCCCAGAGAGGAGTGATCGGAGTGACTCATGCTGTCCTTCTGCCCTGCCTTTCTCCAGGAGAGCCTGGAGAGTGCCTTGATGGGGACCCACCAGGAGCTGGAGATGTTTGGAAGCCAGCCCGCCTATCCAGAGAAGCTGCTGCACAAGAAGGAGTCGCTGCAGAACCAACTCATCAACATTCGGGTGGAGCTGTCTCAGGCCACCACGGTAAGGCCTGGGGGCCTGGTCTGTGGCCTGCCATCTCCTGTGCGGGCCACCATGATGGGGCGATGGGGTTCCTCCCTGAGGACCACAGCAGAGTACACCTACCTTGGAGTGGCATCAGCACAGAACTTAACACAGCCTTGCAAGCAGACAGCACGCATGCCGGCCTGCTCATTGCATGGCACAAACCACAGCAGTGCCAGGATTCCTTGGGGGACACAGAAAGCTGAAGGCTACTGAGGGCCCTGGCAGTTCTAATGCCTCTGGTGCTCACTTCTGCCCTCTGCCTTGAAGAAGCTGGGCACGGGCAGAAGTACTGCTACCCTGGTTGCTTCCCAGAGGGCTTGGTCAGCTCCTCTAGCAGTTTATATGATGGCTGTAAGCCATCGCAGCAGGAAAATGTGGCCTGAAAAGAGGAAGGACTCAAAGCAATAGAGGAAAACAACTCTTCCCAGGCCCTTTTGTCCCTCCATGACTCATCCTTCAACTTGGGCAGAAGGCACAGGAGCCTCGGAACTGATGCCAGTCCCTTTCCGTGTGTCCACGTGCCTCAGAGGGATTTAGCTTTCTATTCCAGTCTGCAGTGTGATGCTGTTGCCACTCTTATAAGACTAGCATTTGCTTGTCTTCAGCATTCCTCCCGTTCCTCTGTCCTCCTCCCCAGCCCTCAGCCCTCAGGCACCTTCCCAGACCCTGTCTCAGGACAAGGAAGGAGGCCTTGGCGGAGCAGCTTTCTCAGTAAACCCTTCCTTGCAGGCACTGACCAACAGCACCATGGAGTACGAGCACCTTGAGTCTGAGGTGTCGGCGCTGCATGATGAGCTGTGGGAACAGCTCAATTTGGACATCCAGGTGAAGAAGGGTCCCAAGCTGGTGGCAGAGGGCTGTGGGCTGCAACTCCTGTGGTCCTTTAGGACAAAGGAGACCAAAATTGCTTAGTTTCTTGCTTTAACAATCTCAGTGTAAGACAAGAAGTCAGTCCGGAGGCAAAAGGCTTGGGCCATTTATGAGAGCTGTAATTGGAAACATTTGGCATGGAGGCAGAAAGATGGTCTGATGATTGTGTGTGTGTGTGTGTGTGTGTGTGTGCGTGCGTGCGTGCGTGCGTGCGTGCGCGCGCACGCACAAGCCTCTGTACTCAGGCTTCAACTCGGCTTGGGCACGGTCTCTTAGCTTTTTCACTCAAGGCTGGTACTCTTCCACTTGAGCCACAGCTCCACTTCCAGCTTTTTGGAAAGAAGAGTCTCACAGACCTTCCAGCCTAGCTGGCTTTGAATAGCAATCCTCAGATCTCAGCCTGCTGAGTAGCGAGGATTACAGATGAGAGCCATGGGCACCTGGATAAGCCTGCTCCTTTTCTCCATGGACAAGAGCCGCAGGGGCCAGGGCACAGATGCAGGTGTGCTAAGGTGTGAATGGAGAGGTGGGCAAAGCAGGAGCTCCCTGTTAGAACAGGAAGGGAATGTGGCTCAGTGGTAGAGTGCTCGCCTAGCATGCATGAAGCCCTGGGTTCCATTCCTCAGCATCACATAAAAAAGCCAGAAGTGGTGCTGTGGCTCAAGTGGTAGAGTGCTGGTCTTGAGCAAAAGAAGCTCAGGTAGTGCCTAGGCCCTGAGTTCAAGCCCCACGACTGGGGAAAAAAAAGTGAATATAAATATCTCTGATATCAGAAGAGACCAGGAGCATGCTGCACAGTTTTAGAAAGAATTATGAGGTGCTCCTGGCACTGAGGCAGAAAGGTGGTCTAATGATCAGGGAGAATTTTCCTTCCTTTCTTCCTGTCTTTGGTCTAGTTCTGCAAGCTCTGTTTCTCACATGCAATTATGATGCCCGGGCATCCTCCATTTTCTTCCTGTTTCCCTCTTGGTAATAAACTCACTTCCTCTACCTTGCATCTAGTTGGGCAGGGGGAAGACCTTCTGGACCAGGAGACCCAAGTACCACCACATGCCGTGGGCAGGCTGGGATTTAAACACACATGTTTTAGGAGCGAGGGAGGACCCAGCAAAGAGCACCATCCTCCAAGTCAGATAGACCCATATTTAAAGGGTGGCCATGCCACTCACTGGGCAAAGGGGCCTGAGTCTTCTTGTCCTGGCGTGAGAGCAACTTCTGCCCTTACCTTGTAGCTGAGCTGCCCCACTGAGATAAGATAGTAGATGCAAAGTGCCCAGAGCAGCACCTGGTGTTGACACCGTGCAAGTGGTAGCTGTTTAATTTCAGAGTGCAGCGCCGGACTTGTGGCTCACTCCTATAATCCTAGCTGCTCAGGAGGTTAAGAGTCAGAGGACTACAGTTTGAAACTAGTATCTCAGAGAAGTCTGAGATACTCCCTCTCTAGAATAGCTAGCAGAAAACTGAGCTGGACTATGGATCAAATGTTAGAGCACCAGCCTAGCCAGCAAACACAAGATCAAACCTCAGTACTGAACAACAAAGATCAGAGTATGATTTGTCATGGAATATAATTCATGACTTGAGACATACCTTATGTGTGACTATTACTAAAGGGATGTTTGGATGTGAAGAAGTGCTTCATGGAAAACAAGACACTTGCCTGGCACTGGTGGGTCATGCCTGTAATCCTAGATACTCAAGAGGCTGAGATCTGAGGATTGCAGTTTGAAACCAGCCCTGGCAGAAAAGTCCCTATGAGACTCCTATCTCCAGTTAACCACTCAAAAATTGTCAGTGAAGCTGTGGGTCAAAGTAGTAGAGTGCCAGTCTTGAGCGAAAGAGTTCAGGGACAGCACCCAGGCCCTGAGTTCAAGCCCACAGCGGACAAAAGAAAAAGAAGATAGGACACTTAAGAGGGTGGCTGCTTTCCAACCACCCAGATGTTTAGGGGAATTCTAAAGGCTGCACGAAGCTCTAAAGGCTTTGGCAGCTCTGGGGACACAATTATGTCTGAGCTGAAGAAGCAGGCACTGCCCATGAGAAAGATGCTTATGCTGGAGGGTGTGTGTGTGTTTGTGTATGGGGGGGGGAGTGGTATAGGCCTCACTTCTGCTGGTCCGGAGGGCCTGGGCTGGGGACAGGCCAGGATATTCCTCATCAACAGTCCTTTGGCTCACTCTGTGGCTGAATCAGAATGAAGTGCTCAACCGGCAAATCCAGAAGGAGATCTGGAGGATCCAGGACGTGATGGAGGGGCTCAGGAAGAACAACCCCTCACGGGGCACCGACACGGCCAAGCACAGAGGTGGGCAGGTGTCTCCTGCATTCCTGGCCTCCATCCCATCCCTACTAATTCTCACTGCTGAGAGTCAGGTAAAGCCTGACTCTCCACAATCTTCCCCTGAATCCAAGGGAGGTAGCCAGGGCCTCCTTTCCCCCCACAGAATAGACCAGGCAGACCACTCATGACATGGTTAACCGTGGGCCTACTCCAGGCCTGTGGTTTTTGCCTTAGAGCTTTCCTTAAGCATTGGGCTTCAGGCTAGCTTTGATATCTTCGAAGTGACAGTGTCATCTCCACCCACCGTCTTCCTGACCATCTCTCAGCAGCAGTCTGTGACCCTAGCACCTGCATTAAGTCTCTTCAGCAGAGCCAGGTGGCCCTAAATCCTCTTCCCGGTCTACTGCGCCTACAGTGCCCATGCGCACGAAAGACCACGCCCCCTCTACCCCTCACCTCTCGCCTCTCTTTCCCCCAAGGAGGACTCAGCACCTCAGCAACCTACAGCTCCAACAGCCCAGCCAGCCCCCTCAGCTCTGCCAGCCTCACCAGCCCCCTGAGCCCTTTTTCACTGGTGTCTGGCTCTCAGGGGTCCCCCACCAAGCCGGGGTCCAATGAGGTAAGCTGGGAAGATGGGACACAAGGTGGGAGGGGAAGGACTCGATGTCAGTTGGCTGAAGCTACAGCCGGTGCCCATCTCAGCCTCCATTCCAGTGCTTTGGCCCTGTGTCCCAGGGAGTCGTTTCCACTCGTTTTGTGACCTTCCCTTGGGATGGCTTCCTTTCACAGAAGTCTCTTCCTAAGTAGCAGGACCGTACTTAGATGGGGTGCCAGGGTGGGGCACATCTTTCCTACCCTTGCTAGCAGTTTAAACCAGGGGTGTTCCAGGGCTGAGAGGGCTTAAGGGTCACTGTGGGGAGCAGATTCCAAGGCAGCCATTGTTTGTGGGAATCCACCACAGGTAAGAATGCCTCAGGGAGTCCAGGGACCTACCCTGAAACTTAGGAAGCCGCCAGCCTCAAGTTCCAAAGGCTTGAGCCCCCCAGGGAGGGGTGGGGTCCAAAGGAGAATGTGGGACTTAAGCAGGGCCACTGAGAACCTCGACCTAGAGGGGTGAGGCACCACCTTGAGGCGCAGGTGCAGGGGTGGGAATATGCTTGGCTTGGGCGAGGTACAAAGCAGAGGGAGCTTTGGAGAAAGCTGGTGGCACGGGAAGGAGTGCAGACACATGGGGCTCTTGGAGAGGGCCGGCATCACCTGCAGAATTAGAGCTCTGTCCAGGTCGGTGGGGAGTGTGGCGCCCAGGGCCCAGCCTCCATTTCCTGTGTTGATGTTATCTAGCTCCTGCTAACTCTCCTTCTGCTCTCACAGTGGCTGACCTTGTTCCTCCTTAATGCTCTGGCTTCTCTCTGCCTCAGGAATCCGGCCCACCTCGGCCTCCCCTCCCCAAAGCCTACGTCCCCCTGGAGTCTCCTCCCACCGTCCCTCCACTCCCTAGCGAGAACCGTTTCTGGCCATACCCCAGCTCCCCTTCCTGGCACCGCAGTGGCGATCCAGCCAGGGGTCAGGTACCCAGCACACTTGGGCTGTGGAGGGCGGGCTTGGGGCAGGATGGGGAAAGGGGCCAGGCAAGGGGCAGGGCCCACTACCAGAGTTATTTCCCTACCCATGTTCTCAATGCTCAATTTCTGCTGGCTCTGCCCAGCTGAACAGTGGGTGACAAAGGGGATAGCGTAGAGTCTCACACACCATCTTTGCCCCTTTTATCTCTCTGTGGACAATAAGGACATAAATTGCTGCCCTACCCAAGCCAGGCTCCGGGGCAGCCAGTGGTGGTGGGGGTTGGCATTGTGCCCTGCTCCCTACCAAAAGGAGCCAAATGACACCACCTCCGAGTGCCAGTCCAGGCCCTTCCTGTCTCCTGCCCACCTCAGACCCCAGCCCTCGCGTGTTCCCACTCTGACTCTTACTTGTCCTTTTTGGGGGCCTCATGAGTCCATGGAGTATTAGGACACAGACCTTTTTCTCTACTGTTCTGGCTCTTTCTCTCACCTGGGTCCTTAGCCAAGATCGATGAGTTGTGTAGAGGTTGTGTAGCAAGTGGGAAGAATCGTTTCCCTAATATTAGAAAGCCCATATGCCCACCTAGGCTCAGCTCTGTAATTTGTGTCAACCCTGAGGGCTTAGCTGGTGAGGTGGGTAGAGCAGGAATGCTTCCTGTAATTTCTTTTGCGTGTCTCTATGTGCTCGTACTAGGGCTTGAACTCAAGGCCTCATATCCTTGCTTGGCTTTTTCCACTCAAAGCTGGTTCTCTACCACTTGAGACACACCTCCACTTCCAATACCTCCTGTGTTTGATAGACTTACACAGCCACTCTAATTGGGTTGCTGCTGAGGTTTCTGATCTCCAGCTTGCTCTTCTCTCTGTGTTCTCACCAAGACTTAGATTTTTCAAGTGTGTAATGATAAAGAGATGACTCAGATGATGTCTGAGTTCCCTTCTAGCCTTCTGATCCTGTGGTCCCACAAGCAAATGCTCCAGAATCCTGGTACCAAGGCCTCCTGGTCTTGGATGGGTTGCTCACAGAGTCCACAGAGATCCTAGCCTCTCTAGAACTCTCCTCTGGCATTCCTTGATGGCCTAAAGCAAGTCTAGGATTCTCTGAGCTTGCCACAGCAACTGGTTGGGTTAGGAGGGCTCTCCAGTGGCCTCTACTGTAACTGTCTTGAAGGCCACGGGCTCTCAGAGCGCCCAGCATCCGTAAGCCTTGCAGTGCACGAGTGGGAGGCTTGGAGTCATCCTGTCGGTTCCCAGCTGGCACACGTGGAATCTCCCTGCTTCCTGTCTTCGGGTTTGGCAGGGGAGGGAATGAGGCTGGACCCCCAGCAGCCACCCTAATAGCATGCGTTCTTTCATCTCTCACCAGCCCAAGACAAACTATGCACAAAGCAAGAAAGAGTCCCACCAGCCTTCTCCCCTGGACCCGCCAAGAGACATCAGCCTCACGCCCACCAGACAAGAGATAGAGGCAGAGAAGCAGGCAGCTCTCAACAAAGGTACCTCCTGGCCCCTCTGCTAGGAGGTAAGGCTCTCTCTGGTCAGAGAGGAGCCCTGGGCACTTCTACCACCCTAGGCTATCAGCCCGGCTGGGGAATAGGACTGCGCCACTCCCTGAGAAGCAGGCTTCCTGCTCACCGCTTTCTGTGTTGCCCACGGTCTTCTCTGTCTCCCTGTAGTTGGCATTGTGCCCCCTCGGACGAAGTCACCCACCGATGAGGAGACGGCCCCGTCGGCGGTGGTGAGGAGGACTGCCAACGGGCTCACCAACGGACTCTCGTCCTCCCGGGTGAGTGCTGCCATAGGCTCTGAAGGCCTGCGTGCGCCGAGCAGCCGTCACCACTCAAGACCAGAGATGAGGGGAAAAACGTAGAGCAGGTAGAAGGAAGCACTCCTTCAGAAAGCACTTGCCAGGAGACAAGGAAGATGAGTGTAGCAAATAGAGTGAACATAAACAGTGGAGGGAAAGCAGCCCAGAGCAGTGCCGGAGGGAGTGTGCTAGTGTAACGAACACAGCAACCCAAGCTTATGCTCTTAGTTTGGAGAGCAGAAATCCAAAGTGAAGGTGTCAGCAGGGTTGGCACCTTTGCGGTCTCAGGGAGAATCCATTACAAGCTTCTCTCCTGGTTTAGTGATCGTGCCGGGCAATCCTTAGCTTTCCTTGTCACAAATAAATCATCCTAATCTCTGCATGACTCAAAGGAACCCGTACTGTTTGAAGGTTCAGAGTCCATCCTTCCCGGATTGCCCCACTTCCATTTCTGGTTTCTTCTGACATGGCTGATCGGATCTATGACCCTCAAACACCTTCACCCTTTTCACCAGTACACTGTCTAGCCACATGGCCGAATCACCCTTTAGGGCATACCTGTTCAGCGGTGGATTTCCTAAGTTAAGGGAGAACTTCTCAAATAATAAAGTACAGGTTTCTTTTGGCTCCACATCTTCTTCGATTTATCTTTTTTTTTTACCCATTTTGTGACAAGTACAAAGAGAAACAGGCTGTACCTCCACCATTTTCCTTAGAAATCTCCAGATAGTATCCAAGTTGGCCACTGTACAAGTTCTGCTTTTCCACTCGACGTTAGAACACAGTACATCTAAGTGTCTGACGATCCTCTCCAACAACACGGTCCCCATTTCCTTCTGGAACTTCACTGGAAGCACCTTTGGCATTCTCTCTACCTGCACCCTGTTTGTGATAATATGAGAACCCTAAAACAGTAGAAGCTTTCTCTGAGCCCACACCAGAACCATCTTTGAAGCCCCCATTCCTTCTAGCCTTTCTCTAAGGAAACCTATTCTTTTCTCATCGTGCACCTCGAAATTCTTCCAGCTTCAACTCCTTACTAATTCTTCTAGACTCTGCTTTTCCACATTTTTCAGGTAGGTTTGTGTATGTGTATGTGTGTGTGTGCACACACAAACACTCTGATTCTGGGGCTTGAATTCAGAACTGAGGGCCTGGTTGCTGTCCTTGAGCTTGTTTTCCTCAAGGCTAGTGCTCTGCCACTCAAGCCATAACTCCACTTCTGGCTTCTGGAAAGATTTTTTGGAAAGTCTCACAGACTTTCCCACCTTCAAACTGTTTGAAACCATGATCCTCAGATCTCATCCTCTTGAGTAGCTAGGATTATAGCCATGAGCCATTGGCACCTGGCTTAAGGTATTTTTTTTAAGTAGCATTTCACTTCTAGGTACCAAAATCTGTATTAATTTCCTAGAACTCGTGTAACAAATTACTATATATTGCCTGGCTTAAAACAACAGAAATTAGCTGAGTGCCACTGGCTCACACCTGTAATCCTAGCTACTAAGGACCTGGCTGAGATCTGAGGGTTGTGGTTTAAAGCCAGCCTGGGAAGGAAAGTCTGTGAGACTCTTATCTCCAATTAGCCACCAGAAAACCAGAAGTGTAATCCTGGCACCTGAGAGGCTGAAGTCAGAGGATCATGAGTTTGAGGCCAGCCTGCCTCAAAAAAACAAAACAATTTAAATTAAAAAGCAAACAAACCTGAAGTGCATTCTGTCATGTATGTGGATGCCAAGAGTTCACAATGAAGATGCTGGCAGAGTTGGTTCTTTCTGGAGGCCTCAGACCTCTCCTATGTGATTATTGCTGGTGATATCTAGCCTTGGGTTTAAAAAAAATTGTGGAAATGAATCATTTCCATCTCTGCCTCCACTTTCCCATTCTCTTCTGCTCTATGTCTGACTTCTCTGTCTCAGCCATTGGATTTGGGTCACTCTAATCAAGTACAAGTGCACAGTTACATCCACAGGTGCCAGGGATTAGGCCTATGTTTTGGAGACTGTTTTCAATCCCTGCTTCTCACCATCCTGTAGCGGGGACGTTCCAAGGCCTTGGAGTGGGTGGGAAAGCTGGATGAAGCACCTGGTAGAACCCGGATTTCCCCCACTGCAGCAGGAGCGCCCCAAGAGTGCTGTGTTCCCCAGTGAGGGCAAGGTCAAGATGAGCGTGGAGGAGCAGATCGACCGGATGCGGCGGCACCAGAGCGGCTCCATGAAGGAGAAGCGAAGGAGCCTGCAGCTCCCAGCCAGCCCGGCCCCCGACCACAGCACCAGGCCAGCTTACAAAGTGGTAATGAGCCCCTACTGCCGCAAGCCTGAACCTGGCATCCGCCCACACCACTGCTCCCAGGTCAGGGCCAGCTTGTGCCAAAGGGGGTGAGAGGAGGTCCTTCAGTGACTGCTTCCTCCGTACGTTTAAAGATAATATGATTGCAAATAATGAGCTGTGTGTAGTGGTGTACTCCTATAATCCCAGCTACTTGGGAGGTACAGGCAGGAGGATTGTGAGTTTGATTGCAACTCGGGCGGAGTTAAACAAACCCTATCTCTAAAATAAAAACAAAATGGCTGGGAGTATAGCTCCAGTGGTAGAGAGCTCACCTAGCAAGCTTCAAGCCCTGTCTTTCAAGGGCTACAGGAATGAGAACAGGGATTGGAGAGAGACAGAGACAGAAAGAAGGAAACAGACCAGAGAGAGAGAGAGCACAAAAAACAATGAACTTTGTGTTTGGCAGGGGCAAGGGGTGGTATTTGGGAAATCTCTGTATCTTCTTAATCTTGCTATGAATTTAAAACTGTTCTTTAAAAAAAAGCAACTGAGTGCTGGTGGCTCACGCCTGTAATTCTAGCTACTCAGGAGGCTGAGATCCAAGGATCGCCATTCAAAGCCAGCCCGGGCAGGAAAGTCCATGAGACTCTTCTCTCCAATTAATTACTAGAAAACCAGAAGTGGTGCTGTGACTCAAGCAGTAGAGCACTCGACTGAGCTGAAGGGCTCAGGGACAGCGCCCAGGCCCAGAGTTCAAGCCCCATGACCAACAAAAACAAAACAAAACAAAAAATCAGTGACTGAATATCTTTGTTGAATTGAATTATAGGAAATTCAGTTAATAGAGAATAGCTCATAGAGAAATAGCCCTCCACTCAGACAGGTTCCTGAAGCAATGCTCTGCATGCTCAGCACCAGCGAGGGGTCCTGAAATTAATCGCACTGTCTCACCATGCAGTGCAGCTCCCAGATCCCTTCTACACTACTTCACTAATCCTTTCAACAACTTTGAATTAGAAATGAGCATCCCTCTTTTACCAATAAGAAAACCAGGTCGGCTGGCAATGTGGGCTAGTGGTAGAGTGCTTGCCCGGCAAATGTGAAGCCCTGGATTCGACTCCTCAGCACCACATAATCAGAAAAAGCCAGAAGTGGCGCTGTGGCTCAAGTGGTAGTGCATTTGCTTAGAGTACAGAAAGGCTCAAGGACAATGCCCAGGCCCTGAGTTCAAGCTCTAGGACCAGCAAAAAGAAAAAAGAAAACCAGGTCAAGAGGAATTAAGGTTATTTCTGGCTCACTCAGCTGTTACATACCATAGCTCAGAAACCTGCTTAACTTTTCTTTCTAGAAGATTTCAGAAATGCAGAAAAGTATGGGCTCCTGAGGTCTGCCCTCAGACAGTTGACATTCTAGTTGATGGATTGGAACGTCTGTAATATAAAACTATTAGAAATCAAGTCACCCTGGCGCAGGTGCCCGAATTGCATGGTGCCGAAGGTGAACCGGGCTCCGGCAGGGCAGGGCCTAGTGGCACTGACTGGAGATATTGATGATTTCTACCTCTGGGCCTTGCAGTGGGCAGGAGTGGGGGCAGAGGCTGGCTCCGCTGTGGGAGCAGAGGGTGGCAGCCAGACCCGGTGTGAGGGCAGGGAGGATGCAGGCCTGGCAGCGCCGGCGCGTGGCACGCCCCTGACAGTGCTGTCCCCCAGGTGCGCCGTCACCGCAGCATCCACGAGGTGGACATCTCCAACCTGGAGGCGGCCCTGCGGGCAGAGGAGCCTGGTGGCCAGGCCTACGAGACCCCACGGGAGGAAATTGCCCGACTCCGCAAGATGGAGCTGGAGCCTCAGCACTACAATGTAGACATCAATAAAGAGGTAAGTGAAGTCGAGGAGTGGAAAGCGCAGAGGGGAAGGCCCAGGGTGGAGGGAGGGAGGAGGGAGGGGGGACACACCCCGGGAGGGGGTGTAGGCAGTGACCTCAGTCCCTCCACAGCTCTCCACTCCAGACAAAGTCCTGATCCCTGAACGATACATTGACCTGGAACCTGACACTCCCCTGAGCCCTGAGGAGTTGAAGGAGAAGCAGAAGAAGGTGGAGAGGATTAAGACACTCATTGCCAAATCCAGGTAACAGGTCTGGGGGGCGTCCCACCGTCTTCCCTGCACCTGGGACACGCGGGGCACAGATGTGGGCGCCTTGCCTCCCCAGGGCAGAGCAAATGGAGCAGGGCCTGGGGCAGCAGAGCCGGCCCAGGCTTCTGGCCGGGGTGAGCTTGCTGCTGTTGGGCCCTAGAAAGGCCTACCGGGTTCTTGTGCTGCCAAGCACCAGGAAGACAGGCTGAAGGGTTGACTGACTGACTTCCCCTTCAAGGCTGCCCTAAATGTTCACTTGAACCTTTGGCTTCGTTTGAAAACACTGAGGGTAGGGGTCCCAACTACTTTGCCAGGGTCCCCCTCACTCCTAGGGACAGCCTTGCTGGGCACCAGAGAAGGCCCCTGGCCCTCCCCATCAACCTCAGGGACAGGCCGCCCCCAGCCAATTGGACCATGCTGTCCCTCCCTCCATGTCTGTGTGTCTGTGCCTCTTCAGTATGCAGAACGTGGTGCCCGTCGGCGAGGGGGACTCTGTGGACGTGCCCCAGGACTCAGAGAGCCAGCTGCAGGAGCAGGAGAAGCGGATTGAAATCTCCTGTGCCCTGGCCACCGAGGCCTCCCGCAGGGGCCGCATGCTGTCTGGTGAGAGGGGCTGGGCCTCGCTCCGCCAGGGACACCAGCTGACCAGGTGTAGGGGAGGAAGCTCAGTGCTGCCAGGGGGGCAGGGACAGAGAGGCACAAGGCCAAGATGCTGTTCTTCAGGCTCAGGGGGCGCATTCGTTGAGCACCAGGTATTGTGCTAGGGGAGAGCAGAGGGGCCTGGGTCGCTGTCAGCCAGGGGCACAGACCCTAGATGGATGAGGTCACAGCCACTTTATGGTGGACTGGGAGCACCAAGAGCAAGCACCCTGCCAGGACAGGACAGGGCAAGGCACAGAACAAAAAGATGGTAACTGGAAGTGGTAAGAGCATCTGCCATTGTGAATGAGAAGGCCAGCATTCCAGGCATGCTTACACTTCTCATTCTTGCTACACACAAATAAGAGGAATAAAAAGAGAAGAATTAAGAGGAGAAGGCAGCTAGGGAGGTGAGAGACATACATTCATCACTTGTCTGTTGAGCCAAGTTCACTTTCCTGCTACAAAGAGATGAGGATGCAGAAGTAACGTCACACGGACAGCACAGGTCTCAGGTAGACACAGGGAGGCTGGAGGCAGCGTTAACCTCTGTGTGGCGGGACATAGATAGCACCCTGCAATAGGTGGAGAGGTGCCTGGGGCTTGAAGAATGAAGGAGATTCTGTATGGATGGAAGGCTGAGTCAGTCATTAGGCCAAAGAGCCTGGAGACTGTCCTCATCTGGTGTGGGCTTTGCCAGGCACGGATGGCACACACCTGTAATCCTAGCAACTCTGGAGGCTGAGAGCTGAGGATCTGGGCTCAAAGCCAGCCCAGGCAGAGAAGTTCATGATACTCTTATCTCCAGTTAACCAGAAAAAAAAAGCCACAAGTGGGAATATGGCTCAAGTGGCAAGCTCCAGACTTAAACAGAAAAAGGCAAGCAAGAGTGTTTTGGCACTTGTGTGCATACATGCATGCATGCACCCGCGTGTGCGCATGCACACACACACACACACACACACACACACACACAGAGTGAAGGCTTGAAGGCCACAGTTGGGAGGAATAACACAAATGGAGCCATGGGTTGGGGATACCTCTAGAAAGAGAGAACAGTGCCAGTTGTGCAGGCAGCTAGCTCAAGGGCTGTGGTGTGGAATGCAGTATTTGTGATTAAGGGGACTGCAGATTCTGCTGCTTCCAGAACTCCATTTCCTCACTGGTAAAATTTAAATCAAAACACCTGCCCTCTAGTTCATGTGGTACAAAGATCACAAGCAACATCTGCCAAGCTTTCTGGCACAGTGCCTAGCACTTAGTTGGTGCTCAATAAATGCCACCCACTGTAGTAGCAGTGGTCATGGTGTTGTGATGTTGGTTAGAAGTAGCTGCATTAGCAGTGGCAAATAGGATCCATTTGTCAGGTTTTTGATGATCTGAAATATGCTTATTTTTAGAAAGCAGAAAGTTGTAGGTCATTCGAAGGGATTTAAAGAAGCACCCACTGGCAGCTAGGGTATACCAGTGTTTAGGAGGGGTGACCGGAAAACCTCTTGGACTATGTCAGAGACTCGCCCCGGGGTGGGCTGGAGCTTAGGGCTAGGAAGACCGGTTTTGGAGAGCCCCTTCCTGCAGCCAGAAGGCCAGCAGAACCTCCTTGAAGTTTAGCAGCAGAAGGACCTCAAACCTTCTAAAGATCAAATTCCCCATCTCTGGGCAACTTCCTGCTTCAAGAGGGTAGGGCATAGGATGCTGTTTAAGAACTGCCTTTCCATGGCCCTGGCTTCCCAATGGAAGGTTCTGTGAAAACAAACCACCCAGTCTAGCCGCTTTCCCCTCCATATGCCTGGGCTTACATTTCAGGTCTGCGTGCCGAAAGCAAACAGGCAGCTTGCTTTTGCCAAACCCCAACTATTTGAAAAATGGCTGACAGTAGGGCCAGACCTCAGACCTAGCTCTCTTCCCCACTGTCCCTGGCCTGTGGCCCAAATCCTCCAGAAGCCCCCTGGCAGGACAGCGTGGGCCTGGTCATGTCCAGGACATTGTGGGGGGGGGGCGGTTCTGAGCACAGGTCACCAGGGCAGTGTGCAGGGGCACAGGGTGTGTGATGTGGATAGCATAATAGGTAAGGAGGGCTGTCAGTCTGTGCAGGGCAAGTATGAGCTGGGCAAGATGGGGCATTTCTGAATTTGCGCCAGGCCCTATGCAATAGTATGTCTGGTAGTGTCTGTAGACACATGTATGCATGTGTATGCAGATGTGCAGCATGTGAGCAGAGGCTGTGTTTGAGGTGATATAAAGAAAGAGCACATGTGTGCCTGTATGTGTGTACATGTGTGCTTGTGTGCAAAATGGCCTTTGTTGTATGGAGACCCATTTTTATGAGTCCAGCTGGCATGTGTAAGCAACTGGTGTGTAGTTGTACATGTGAGTGGAGGTGTTTAAGAACACATGTGTTTACTTGTGGCTGCTCTTTTGTGTCGTGTGAGGAGTGATCAAGCCTATTTGTAAGTGTTGTGGACAGTGTAGATGTTCTGATATTTGCACACAGAATTGTGTGTGCAGCATGAGAGTGTGAACATGGGATGCGATGGTCCCTATGACCACAGACCTAGTAATGTCACATCTGCCCACATACCTGCTACATACATGAATTGTAACAAGTCTGAGGATATAGTCTATTTATGTATATATATGCTATAAATATATATATGTGTGTGTGTATATATATATATATATATATATATGTTATTCCTCTGCCTTTTTTCAAAGTTACATTTACATAACTTTACACACTTTGCTCCTTAGTGTCATTATAAAATTTCTGGCTCCTGGCCTCTGTTAAATAAATGTCCTACTAAGCACTGGTGGCTCACACCTGTAATCCTAGCTACACAGGAGGTTTAAAGCCAGCCAGGCCAGGATAGCCCAATTAAGTACCAAAAAAGCTGGAAGTGGGACTGTGGCTCAAGTGCTAGCCTTGAATGAAAAAAGCTTAGGGACAGTGTCTAGACTCTGAGCTCAAGCCCCAGGACCAACACACATACAAACACACACAGACACACACACATACACACAAAGTACTCAGAGCAGTAGTGGGTGTAGATCTGTTTGCAGCTAAGGGGTTTATGCTAAGTGTTGCCCAGCTGTTATACCTGGGAAACCATTATAACTACTTTTTACAAGTTTCTCTTCAGTTGTGTTTTCATGGTGATCCAATGGGCTTCTCAACTTTTCACCTCTTTTCATTTTCTTATTTCTGATCTCCTGTGGACCAGAGCTCCAGCAGGTCCACTCCCATTAGACCTATATAATTAGAGAAACTCTGCTCCTTTGGACTCTCCTATGAGGAATTCCTGGGCACCTGCTGTTTGCCTGTAAGATGAAACCTTGGTTTGGGCTTCCTTGAGAAACCCCTTGGTGTGTGTGTGTGTGTGTGTGTGTGTGTTGATGGTCTTAGAAATTGAGCTTGCCAGGCCAGTAGCCACAGGTCAGTGATATGAATATGCACACAAATGTGTTTGAAATCATTTGTGACTGGGTTTGTATGTGACATTGTGCGTGTGTGTCGGGTCACATGGAGTGTCCCAACAACCCGAGTGATGTACAGAGAGTATAACCATATGGTGTTGCCGGATCCCCGCACAGACTGTGTCTTCTGTGTCCATGCAAGTGCTGTGCGGGTTATGGACCGGGCTGTGGACCCGAGCTAGGGCCGCGCTGCCTCCTCTCTCATAGACGCTGGGCAGGTGAACGCTCCAGGCGAGGGTGCGCAGCAAGGGCAGGGAAGTTCAACATCACATTCCTCTCAGTGGAACTGCGGTGGAACCTAGTGACCCTGGCTGAGGTCTGGTTCTTCCCAGAGCCCAGGAGAGAGAGAGAGAGAGAGACAGAGACAGACAGACAGACAGACAGACAGACAGACTTTGTACATGTGTGTCTCTCTCTTTCTCCCTCTCTTCCTCCCTCCCTCTCCCTCTCTCTTCCTCTCTTTCTCTTTCCTCCTCTCTCCTCCCTTTCTCTCCTTTTCTCTCTGTCTGCCCCCTGCCTCATGGCTGCACCGAGGGCCCACGAGGGTCTGGTGGCTGCCCTGAGCTTGTCCCTGGCAATACGACTCTCTCCATTGTCTTTGCGCTGTGCAATCTCAACATGGAATAATGATCATAATGGAGTAAAATCCCACTTATCCAAATGTCACCATCTTCAGGTGGGTGGTGATTTGTTCTGTTGGCCTCTCCTGGTCATGTGGAGGGAGCATCTCCAGTGGTGGTATCTTAGATTGACACAACTGGCTTTAAGCTTATCAGAGCACTCCAGGTTCGCCTGGGGCCTGGGACTTTGGATGGGTGTGATTTTACTGCACTGGTAATCATTATCACTAGCGTACGTCCATGTCTGGTGTCCAGCACTGCCCCCTACAGCTGTGTTCATGGTAGTGGAGTTGTGTGTGAATCTCATTGCACGGATGGAAGGGAAGAGCCTTTGGCCCACCCCCGAGAGGGCCCACAGCCTTACCCACTGTCACGCGGGGCTCTCAGCAGAGCCTGGCGTCCCCGCTCTCCTCGGGATCGCCTTCTCCTCCCTGCCGCCTCAGGGGCCAGGGCAGCTTTGCCGCAGCTTGAGCGAGCTCCTGGTCCCAGCTCTCCCCGTGTGCCTTGCCCCCCCCCCCGCCTTGCTCCCTGCCTGAGGAGGGGCCCCACTTGCTCTGGGTGTCCGGCCCCTCCCTGCACCCCCAGCCCCTATTCACAGCCCTGTTCGTTTTTGTTCCAGTGCAATGTGCCACCCCAAGCCCTCCCACCTCCCCTGCCTCCCCGACTCCACCGGCCAACCCCCTGTCGTCTGAATGCCCGCGGGGCGCCGACAGCAGCCATGCCATGCGGGTCTGAGCTCTGACGTAAGCACCTTTCTACTGTATTTCATCCACCCCAGGGAACGGGCTCCCCTTCCCTCCCATCCCCACCCTCTCGTTGCTTCTCCCGCTCCATCCATCTGCTTGAGCCGCCAGCATCCCTGTGCAACCCCACAGCCATGCTGCTGCTGCGACGTGGCTATGCCAGGGCTCTGCTTCTCCAGGAGCAGAAGCAGACAGGAATGGCGCAGAGACCCACCCCCTCCCCCGCCCGCTGTCAGGGAAGGCCTTCCTGGACACCCAGCCCATACCCATCACCCCTGTACCTCCCGCCAGCCAGCCAGCTTTCTGTCTGTTGACATGCATAGCAATCCCATCACAGAACCCCCCGGAAGCTGTCTAGCATCTGCCTCCACCCCCAGACTTTTTTGCGTGTGTGTGTGCAGGTCATGGGACTTGAACTCAGAGCCTAGGCACTGCTCTCTAGCTTTTTCACTCAAGGCTAGTGCTCTACTACTTGAGCCACAGCTCCACTTTTGTCTTTTTGCTGGTGAACTGGGATAAGAGTCTCACAGATTTTCCTGACCTGGCTGGCTTGGAACCACAGTCCTCAGATCTCAGCCTCCTGAGTAGCTAGGATCACAGGCGTGAGCCACCAGCGCCTGGCTTCCTAGCTCTTACTGTAAATTCACACATCGTCAGGCAGCCCTAGCCCAAGGCCTGTACTTCCTTCCCCCCGGCACCGAGCGTCTCGTATCAGGAAATGGGGAAGAACACTGACTCCCATCCCTTGGGCCCCCCCTTTCAGGGCTGAGGGCTGGGGTGGCTTTGGCAGCTCTTAGTAATGAGACTTCTTTCTGCTCATCCTCTTTCTCTCTTCTCTAGTGCAAGCCCTGGCCGAGGCCAATGCTGCGAAGCTCCAGAGAGCCACGTTCTGAAGCACCCTCTGTCCACCTGACGGCCTGGCTCCCCACCTGCCCCCCTGCGCCTGCAACCCAGTGCGAATTCTTCAGGGAGGCAGGCTGGGGGCCAGGGCTGCGGCCAGCAGAGGAGCAGAGCATGGATGAGGCTTTGCTGTCCACGCCCACCATCCTCACCCTGAAGCCCTTGCTGTCCCGCCGGGGGGGCCCCGGCGGGGCCTGGGATGGTCGGGCCCAGCATCTCTGATGTCCACCATTGGGAGCCCAGAGCTGGCTCTGGCTGGCTCTGTGGTGGCCTTTTCTGGAGCATCACCTGATGGAGAGCATGCTCTGGCGGGAGCATGTCCTAGGCTAACTTAGGTGAGGACTAGAGATGAAGGAGATGGACCCTCTGCCTCTTGAAGCTCCACTGGACACCAAGGACAGCTGCCATTATTCCATTGGCCCCAGCTGACCAGCTACACCCAGGCTTTGTCGCACTCTGTGGATGGGGCTTCTTGGAGGCCGGTGGAGACCAGCCCTGCCTGAGCCAAAGACAAGATGGGGAAGAGATGGGGAGGGGCTCCTGGGGCCCCAGAGAGGTGGTGCTGGCTAGAGAGAGAGCAGCAAGTCTGTGCAGTGTTGGAGGGCAGGTTGGGAAGGGTGAGCGGGAAAGGAGAGGTTCCTAGAAAGTGGGGGTTACGAGAGAGGAGACTCACAAGTAATGAGGCTGGAGGGAAATGGAGAGGGGAGCCTGGCTTCCCCGTGGTGGAGCCTAGGTTAGTGGAAAACGTAGGGTCGGACGGTGGCCTGTGCACCTGCTCCTCGTCCCCAGAAACAGCCGGGCCCAGGCAGGCGCACCAGCAGAGCACGGCATGGCTCGGCAGAGGCGCTCCATGTGTGGGGCGGCGGGGAGCTGAGCGTGGATCAGGGCCCCGTGTCTGCCTCTCCCGCCTGTCTTACATAGGGCTGGCCAGCCTTGGGCCTTCCCTAGCCAGTTTCTTGCCCCCATTCCTTCTAGAAAGCACTGTGGCCCAGCTGGGAGGTCTGTCAGGGAAGAGAGGATGAAGCCTTAATGTAAGAGGCCAGGACCCTCCCCTCATCCCAGATCAGGCTCCTACAATCCACCTACCCACGAGGCAAAAATGCATGCCTCCTCTGTTCCACCCACCTGGAGCAAATGTGGCCAGTGAGGACGGAGACGCTGAAGACCCCAGGCCGCCTGTGCGGGAGTGGCTGCCCAGAGACCTCAGTCCCCGCCGCAGCGCCCCAACGACAACCACTGCATCTCCACCAGTTCCTCTCTACCCCTTCCTGGCTGGGGCAGTGGCTGGCTCATATGCAAGTAAAGATGACAATTCATGCAACGCATACTGACCGAGCACCTTTTATGTACTAGGCACTGTTGCAGGTGCTTAGCATATACTCTTGCTTCTGAGGGACCGTAGACTGGGAGGACTCTGCCTTGCTTTACTTCTAGCAGCTTCTGGATGCTCACCTTGGCTACGTGTCCCATCTTCGCAGCTCAAGCACCCCAAGTCTGTCCTTTCTCCTCTACAGACTGGTAGGTTAGCTCCCAGGTCACCCTCTCCACCCCCACCCCCTCCCCCACCTCTTCTCTTTCCTTTAAAAAAAACAACAACGGATTTTTCAGGGCCTTCTCCTTTCCTTGTCTCGCTTTCCTTTATTTTTAGGGTGGTATTTTTCAAAATACATGTAAAATATCAAGAACTGATGCCTACACCTCCTCCATCTCTCAGCCCTGATTTCATAAAGCTGGCTCTTTATGTTGCTTTACATGCCTTAATATATGTTTTCCAGAGGTGATGCGTGTTAGAGCTCTCTGTGGAATATAAACGTCTGTCTGGATGTCGGTCTTTCCCTCCGCTCCTGCCCAGGCCCTTTCTGCTCTCCATGCCCTCCTAGCACATCAAGGCCATACTTCTTACCATTTTTTTTTTTTTTGATCCAAAGAAGGGGAGAGGAAAGACTTCTTTTAAGGCAGACCTATTTTATGCTTTTGTTTAAAAAGCAAATCTTATTTTCAAAAATGTGCAGTGTCTGGGTGGGACTGGCCAGGGGCGTGAGGGGTGAGATGACTGCTCTGGATCCGTCCTGGGCCCTGTCCTCCTCCCGCTGCTAGCGTCCTCCTCCACCCTCCGGGCTGCAGAGGCCGACGCCCAGGGCTCCCCCAGAGAGCGCCAGGCCTCCGCAGAGCTCCTGGGCCGAGCGTTTGCTGTCCCTTAACAGCAGATGGCGCTCTGAGGGTTGTCATGTTTACAGTTGCACACCCATGCAGGCACACGCACTCGGGTGGGTGCCTGGGCCGCGAGGAGGAGCAGTTTTGTGGCAGCTTATGCTGATCATCTTGAAGGATGGGAGTCCACTCTGGGGGAGCCATGCTACGGAGCGAAGCCCGAGGAAGGGGCTCGAATGCGCAGCTGTGTCGGCTCTCTAGTATGGACACCTCCAAGTTCCTTGGACTTTTCACATTTTCTTGACTCCATCTGTTCCCCCGTGAGACTTTTTTCTGGGAGCCGTTCCTAAGGGGATAGCACCTCGATCTGGCATCCAGACTTGATGCCATCCCCTTGGTGGGGGAGGGAACTGCAGTTCACGTAACATCTCAGCCTTGCCAAGAAGAAACCCTCAGGACTGTGGCAGGCGGTGGCCTGGGCACCAAACAGGGTCAGCTCGGCCTCCCAGATGCTTGCAGACTATCAGAGTCCGCATGGAGGCTCCTAGGAGTCTGGGCAGGAGAGAGGGTGTGGTCTGAAATCAAGCAGTATTTGCAATTTTGTACAGAACGTTCAGCTAGCTTGACCTCCAAAGGTGGCATTTGCTGGTCCCCTGTCCCTACCTGGAGCCTCCTGCCTTGATTGATGGGAGGCCCAGCACTCAGCAACCCCCTGGGGAGAGCCCTCATTACTCATCTAGGGCCTTGCCAATTAGCACATTACCTCCCTAATCAGTCACCAAGAGGCTGTCACTGAATACCGCTACTGTCACTTTCAAGATTGTCTGAGATTGCAAGCTTGCAGGAAGCCGAAGCACCAAGGCACCGTGCGTGCGCTTGCCTGCCTGAGTGAGAGGCGTGTTCTTAGGGCAGGGCTGACTTCCACAAGATGGAACCCCTTCCTTCCCCAGGCGCCCTCCTCCCTGCAGCTCTTCAAACAAGGACAAATAGTATCTATCTATCTATACATATCTATTTATGCACATATTGGGGCCAAGTTGGTTTGCTAGTAGTAGACAATAAACCATACAAGGAAATTCATGATCTCAGTGTCTTTATTTAGTATAAAAGTGACCTTAGACAGAGTTAAGGTGGAACAGAGGCCGCCTCTGTTGGGACCAAACAGTTGTAGCATCTCCCGAGCATCTGTTTAGCTGCTGAACCCCTTCCCCCGGAGAAGGGGACACCCTGGCTGAGGCCGAAGAGCCTTTGCCCTTCCTTCCAGCAGCGTTCTTTAACTAGATTTAGGTTCTCAAGAACCCAGTGAGTTCTGACATTTGTATCTTGCAAGTTTGTATAAGCCCTATCCAGGAAATAAAACGAATGGTTTGTACCTCTGGTGTGTGACTCGCTCCTTGTCCGTGTTGGCCTCTGGCTGCCCTCGGCATTTGTGGTCATTGTGCTTGGCAGAAAGGGGAACCAGGGCTGAGGGGCATCCCTCCTCCCTCTCCTCCTCCTCCCCTGACCCCCCACCTCAGCCGTGCTTCTCAGCCTGCCTCGCAGACAGGCGCCCAGAGCCCACAGGTGCTGACTGCTTGCGGCATCCTGAGGCACACAGGGAATCGCCTGAATCCAGGTGAGCTCCATCAGGGCTTGTCTGGAGGGCCTGGGAAATGGAAGCATCTGACCCCTTCCCTGGTCTGTGAGAAGGAAGGTGGGACCTTTGGGCAAGAATCCCCTAGCCTCCGTGCTCACGCGAGGCCCCGTGGCACTGCATTAGGGCACGAGGAGGTACCCGATCACCCCCGTTCTCAGGCCTTCTCAATCCCTTTGGTTTCATTCTCTTGGCGACTTCCTAGTGATGATCAGTTACTGTCTGCAGGAAGGGTTTTACTACAGCCTCTCAGTTTGAAATCTGCTAAAAACCAGTTAAATCTGTTAACTCAGTTAACCGGGTGTCGTGGCTCAGTCCTGTAATCCTACCTACTCAGGAGGCTGAAATCTAAAGATTGCCATTCAAAGCCAGCACAGGCAGAAAAATCTGTGAGAATCTAATCTCCAATTAACCAAAAAGATAGAAGTGGAGCTGTGGCTCAAGTGGTGGAGTACTAGCCTTGAGCAAATAAAGCTCAGGGACGACCCCCTAGACACTGAATTCAAGCCCCAGGATCCACATGAATCACACATACACACACACCAGCAGAATAACTTTCTGCTTTCAAACAGTTGGGTTTCTGAGTGGGACTGCTAAGGACACATAGTAGAAAGTGGCACTGCATTAGGGCACGAGGAGGTGCCCTGGAGATGTGTTATAGGGCCAGGTACCAGGCAGGCAGCCAAGTACCAGACCCTGCCAGGGCCACTATGCATGTCCCCTAGCTCCTGGCTCAAGCCTCCGTGTGGAATGGCGCATGCCTAGTGCTAAGCTGACAGGAGGGAAGGGTGTACGTGGCTCTTGGCTCCTGGTCCACTCCCTGCTGGCTGCACGAAGAGCTGAACCCATGACCCAGGTTCTCACTTACAGACCCTGGCCTATAAGGATGGTAATAGTCCTGTAGAGACACCCACAGCTGAGGACTAGCCCCCACCTTCCAGAACCTTCCAGGTTGTCCCTGTGAAGCTGGGCTGTGAATAAGGCTCTCTGGCCTACCTCTTGGGCCCAGAGAACCAGATCAGGAGTGTCCCAAGCACAGTAGATGAACCAATGGTGCCTAAGACCTTGCAGAGCTGGGACAAAGCCCCCGGTGCTCTGACCTGAAAACTAAGTTCTCAACCTACGGAGTGGTTTCATAGGAGCCACGCTGCCCCCTAAGGAGAATTTTGGCCATTTGCAAGAGAGCCTTAGGCTGCTTCAGGGATAAAGTGGCCAAAGCCCTGGCTGGCTTTGTCTGCAGTGCTGGTTTTTAAACCGAGGAGCTGTCCTGTGCACCGTGCCTTCCTCCTATACAGATTCGCACTGCTCTGGAAATGGGTTCTCCTGTTTCCCACAGAAGTTGGTCATGCTTCAACCCACACTACTAATACTACCAAAAAAGCTTTGTAAGCATTTCAGGTAGGTTTTTTTTTTTCCTTTTTTCTTTTGGAATAAGTTGCCTGGGTAATTCTGGAAGTTAGGAAGTAGTTATGTAGAGGAAAAAAAGACATGGAATAAGATATTTCAAAATTATTGACAAGCAAACACTTCATTGAGTATACATGTAGGATAACATTTCTTTGAATGACTTCCTATCTGGTCGAAAATGGTTCCATTCAGGGAGGATTGGCTGGAAATACCTCACAGAGGAGCACAGGGCAAACAAACTTCACCAAAACAGAGATGCTAGAAATGTAGGAGAGCTCAATAGGTCTCTTAATGAAAAGCTCTAAGAAATTATTTTGTATTATTACCATGCTTTATGTTTTTCAAGCTTTTACAGTAAAGCTGAACCCTTACTTTGTGTGTGTGTGTGTGTGTGCGTGTGTGCGTGTGTGTGTGTGCGTGTGTGTTTACCAGGATTTCACCTTGAACTCAGAGTCTCACGCTCTTGTTTGGTCTTTTCACTCAAGGCTGGCACTCTACCACCACAGCCACAGCTCCACTTCTGGCTTTTTGGTGCTTAACTGGAGATAAGAGTTTCACAGACTTTCCTGCCCAGGCTGGCTTTGAGCTGCAATACTCAGATCTCAGCCTCCTGAGTAACTAGGATGTGAGCTACCAGCACCCAGCTTTGATGAACATTTACGTTGTAATATGGAAATGGCTGGGAGAGTTATGGGGTATATTTCTACCATTCTCTAACCCTGTCCCAAAGGTCTACCTGCACTTGCTTTCCCCAGTCTATCCTCTGCCCCCATTACCCTTTGGAAGTACATGATTGCCAAGGCCTGATTGGATTTTACTTCTGCAAGTGATGGCATTTCAGTACAGAGGTCTGTGTGTGCTGTTCCATGAGGGCTGTGACGTCCGCGCTGGCGACGTACATGCTGCTCGGTGAGCACCTGCTCATTGTCTCCAGCTTGCCTTGCATTGCCCCTGTGTCTACGGGGAGACTTCCCTTTTTCCTCAGTTACATGCAAACATCCTGGTCGGCTATTTCCTACAGCTCTTATTCTAGAGTTCCCACCCTATTATTTTGTTTTCTTATGTGCATGTGGTTTTGTTTTTGCATGGGATGTCTCTTGCCTTCTATTTCTTTTGAGTTCAGACTTAGGTATTGAAACTTATTTGTATGTTGGTGTGAGCACTCTGAAATCCACGCTTCTTCTGGGAAGCGTTGGCAGGACATTTATGTAGTGAGATGGCTTGTTCCACTCTGAAGCATTCTGGTGCTCGCTCGATCACTCGCTCTTTCTCCCTCTCTCTCAGCATAGTTAGCTTTGAGCTTAACTTGATGTGTGGAGATTAGTCAAGTCACCTGGGAACCCCATTTCTGGGAAGAGGGTACAGTACTAAGTGGATAGTGGCTGGCTAATGTGGAGATAAGAGTCTTTTGGATTTGTCTGCCCTAGCTGGCTTTGAACCACAATCCTTAGATCTCAGCTTCCTGAGTAGTTTAGTATTGTGTTGAGAACCTCTGCTCCACAGGGAAAAAGGATGCTGGGAACCTTCTGCCCCCTTCTTCAACCTTGCAGAGGAGGAGAGGACCTGCCATGTCTGTGCAGCTGCTAGTAGGGAGGCTGGATAGAACCCCACCCCCTCTTCACCCAAAGACAGGGCTTTGCTGCCACAGCTCATCCTCACAGTCCAAAGCCGGACACTGGTTTTGTGTGTATGTGTGTGTGTGTGTGTGAGAGAGAGAGAGAGAGAGAGAGAGAGAGAGAGGGAGAGAGAGAGAGAGGGAGAGAGAGTGAAAGGGAGAGAGAGAGAGAGTCCAACTCCCCAGCCACCAGCCATGTTGTACCTTGGTTTACCCAAGTCTGTGTCCAGATTTGCAAATTTTCACTCCGATGATTATTGCCCCCTAGTGTCAAGACTGTGTAATAGCATGGAGCAAACGTGATCTCCCAGATGAGTTTAGTAGCTTTGCCAAAACAGGCTGACTCCAACTCTTCTGTACCCGCTATCAAACCAGGTGAGCAACCTGGGGGGTCCCCCCTACACCCCAGTTATTCCATGTAGAATCCAATTTGTGTGGAGGAGACTGGAGTGGTGAACTCAGCCTCTGCTCTAGGGGCCTGCGAAGGAAGGGAGCAAGGGCCGGCAGGTGTGGCCCTCAGGGAACGGGAGGCCCAGCCGCCATCTTTACCAGCCAGGAGCGTTGTGGGGAGAGAGGGAGGTGGGGAGTTAATGATTGACCCAGGACTCCTTTCACAACTGCCAAGGGTCAGCTTCCAGGGGCATGCACGGCCTGGTCCTGGGTTTGTCACCGCCAGCAGCTGACCCGGAAGCCCCCCAGGCTCCGAAGCATGATCTCAATCACTGAATGGCAGAGTGAGTCCCCTGGCCTGCTGGAGGGAGCTGGCGGAGTGGGGGTCCGGGCCAGGGGGCGCCGCAGCGAGGGGGGGTGTCTCTCCAGGGTGGTGTGGTCCTGGACTGCCACGGGGCCGGGGCTTCTTGGGCGCAGGCAGCCCAAGGCTGGTGCCTGGGGAAGGAGCGAGTTGACCAGGCAAGCTGACCGCTTTCTGTCCTGGTTCTGAGAACCAGGGTGTCATGAAGAGATGGGGCGGGGGGCGGGGGAGCAGGGCTCCTGCCTATATAGATCTGTTCCTCACCCCCAAACCCTCAGAGTCCCTGTGGTCCTGGAGCCATTCATGATCAGAACTGAACTCCACTCCTGAACACCCCTCCTCCCTTGGGGGAGACGGAGTGTGTCCACAGGGGGACCAAGGACTCCACAGGGAGGGGAAGCAGAGCTATGGCTCTGTGGTTTCATTGAAAGCCTCAGTCTCACAATGCAGTGGTGAACTCCGTCTGGCACCAAACACACCTGTCTCTTCTGGGTGTACAAAGCACTGTGCGGGACACAGGCCAGGCAGGCTAGAAGGAGCCAGCCCTGTCCCCGGCTTGCCACGGAGAAAAGGAAGGCAGATCATTAACGGATGAAAGTGCCGGTGAACCTGTGAGCTGGCCTTAAGCCCTCTAGACAAAACAAAACGGGGAGGGGGCAGCGAGCTGGAACAGGCTGCTGTTTTGTAGTGTGTGGCCAGGGAGGACTTTGCTGAGAAGGATCCTCCATACAGCGGCCCATGGGGAATGAGGAAGTAGGTTGGTGCAGCTATGCGGAGGAAAATGCTCCAGGAAGAGGAGTTGCTTTAGCCTCCTCGCTGTGTACTTGTGATAGCTCCAGCCGCCTCCAGCAGGGGGCGCTGGCCCCTTGGTCTGGATGGTGGGACTGTGGCCAAAAGAACCCTTTGCCATGCCTGTGTCCCCTGCACGATATGCCCTGCTCCCCCCATCCCTTGCCCTCTCTGCCCTGAGGACCCAAAACTGGCTGGGTAATTTGAAATCTCTAAGCCACTTTAGAAGCAAGAGATGAGGGAGTTTTAAAGCTTTTGTGTGAGAAACACATTTTCTGACTCTGCTGTGAGGCTCTGTGTCCCACTAAGAGGCTGGAGGAGTGGCTCATCAGCACCACTGGCCCCACTACAGCATGGGAAGGCAGCCACCTGTGCCTCACGCCTGTAATCCTAACTACTCAGGAGGCTGAGACCTGAGGATCATGGCTGGAGGCCAGCCAGGGCAGGAAAGTCTTTGAGACTCTTATCTCCAGTTAACTGCCAGAAAACCAGAAGTGGAGCTGTGGCTCAAGTGGTAGAGCACTAGCCTTGAGCAAAAAAGCTCAGGAACAGCACCCAGGTCCTGAATTCAAGCCCCAAGACCAGCATACAAACAAAAACATGGAACAAATGAGAAGAGTGATAATTTTGCAAGCCAGCTAGTTGGAGGCCTTAGTGGATTCTTGCCCAAAGTCAGAGCAAGTAAGACTGGCATTTCATAGGACTATAAACAGTGAAGTTTCAGTTTGTACCATGACTGCTTCAGCAACACAATGAATGATTGTTTTAAAGCAGCATTCTGACATTATTTCGTGTGTGTGTGTGTGTGTGTGTGTGTGTGTGTGTGTGTATACTGGTGTATTGGTCCTGGGGTTTTGAACTCAGGACCTGGGCATTGACCCTGAGCTTTTTGCTCAAGGCTAGCATGCTACCACTTGAGCTATAGGTCTACTTCAGGATTTTTGGTAGTTTATTGGAGATAAGAGTCTCATGGACTTTCCTGCCCCAGCTGGCTTTGAACCATGATCCTTAGATCAGTCTCATGAATAGCCAGAATTACAGGCATGAGCCACTGGTCTCTGACTGGCCTTATTTCTGTAGTAGAGTTCATCTGTTTAAGATACATCTGGATAGGGCTGGGGATGTGGCTCAGTGGTAGAGTGCTTGCCTAGCATGCATGAAACCCTGGGTTCAATTCCTCAGTACCACATCAACAGAAAAAAAAAACTGGAAGTGGCAATGTGGCTCAAGTGGTAGAGTGCTAGCCTTGAGCAAAAAGAAGTTCAGGGACAGAGCCCACACCCTGAGTTCAAGCCCCAGGACAGGCAAAAAAGAAAAGAAAAATCTTTGTCTGATGAAGGATTCTCAGAAGCCAATGGTGGTATTTTCTTTCCACTGCAGATATAATGTAACCAGTAAGTGTAGTCTTCCCATTTTGTTTGTGTTTTTATAGTTCTTTTTTTTTTTCTTGGTCGGTCGTGGGGCTTGAACTCTGGGCCTGGGCGCTGTCCCTCAGCTCTTCAGCTCAAGGCGAGCGCTCTACCACTTGAGCCACAGCGCCACTTCTG